CCAGAGTCTTTGCAGTTCGATCTTTAAATCCTCATATCGTGTCAGCTTTTCCTGTTGTTTCTGTGCAATCCTGCTGTCACCTGGGATTGTTGTTGTTATGGTTATTGTTATTATTGTTGTTGTTATTATTATTATTAATATTAATTATTATTGGGGAACATGGGGAGGACCATGGACACTCCTGCAAGTCTTCTTTTGTCTGCCACCTCAAACACTTGGTCTCAATAATAATAATAATAATAATCACAGTAGATAAGATAGAAAAACATCCCAATTTCCTTCTGGACAGAAACTTAACTTTTCTTTCCCATCAATGGCTCTAGCTTGGTTTGAGTTTTATGTGTCTCGATACCAGAAAAATCCCAACAAACAGCAAGCACATCCCAGACAGACGCTAACATGCCCTCAGGTAGAGTTGTCTCTTCCTTTGCCCACATGGTTCCCAGCCTCTGATTACATTGGCCATTTCCATCCACATTCCAGAGCCCCATGTTGCCTGGAGAATATTAATGCCATCTCCACAAGACCTGTTTTTACTTAATGGCATTGGAGACATATTGTTTATTTTCAAACCGAGCTGGTAAAAAGATTTACTTGCAGTTCCATGCAAGGAAGTGTTAACATGGCATTAATATTTTTCTTTCATAAAGGGTTAGCAGTCAGCGATGTATATAGCCTTTGGGCCAAATCTGTCTGCCGGAGGGCTAGCTCCTGGCTATCATGTTCCTATCTAAAAGGGAAGAAGGAAAGGAGGGTGGGTGAGGAATAAAAGCAAGCAAGCAAGAGGAAGAGCTGTCTACCAATCATCTTGATTCCAACAGGGTTTTCCACGGTAGAGATAAAGGGATGGTCCTCTTCCACCATATGAACTCCTTTCTCCCTCCCTTTCGCTCCCTTAAATAAAGCAGGATGCAAGAAAGTGTGATCTCAATGCATCGTTACTGGTAGGACACCTACAAAACTAGCTGCTGACCAGTATGTTCAGTACAGACCGTTACAAAGAAGATGGGTTCATAGGTTCTGCAGCAGATTACAGGAGCTGTCTTCATAGACCTGTCAGCAGCCTATGACATTGTAAATAATCTCCTTCTCCTGAGAAAAAATATATAATATTACATATAGCTACCACCTCACTCGCTTCCTAGGAAATCTACTACAAAACAGGAGCTTTTTTGTTGAGTTCCAGGACCAGAGAAGCAGATGGCGAAAACAGAAGAACGGCCTGCCTCAGGGGAGAGTGCTTGTTCCATTAATGTTCAACATTTACACAAATGATCAGCCACTGCCAGAACAGAGTTTTATCTATGCTGACGATCATGTTATCACCACTTAAGCAAGGAGCATTGAAATAGTTGAACAGAAGCTCTCCAAAGCTTTAGGTGCTCTTACTGCCTATTACAGGGGAAACCAGATGACTTCTAATCCATCTAAAATGCAGACATGTGCTTTTCATCTTAAGAACAGACAAGCATCTCGAGCTCTGAGGATTACCTGGGAAGGAATCCCACTGGAGCATTGAAGCACACCCAAATACCCGGGAGTAACTCTAGACCATGCTCTGATTTACAAAAAGCACTGCTTGAATATCAAGCAAAACGTGGGTGCTATATTTTTTTCCCCATGTCAGGCACGACTTGTGAAACTGCAAGTAGCTTCTGATGTGTGAGAATTGGCCTTCTGAAAAGACATTGCCTAGGGGACGCCGGATGTTTTGATGTTTTACCATCCTTGGGGGAGGCTTCTCTCACATCCATGCATGAGGAGCTGGAGCTGACAGAGAGAACTCATCCGTGCTCTCCACAGATTCGAACCTCCGACCTACTAGTCTTCGGTCCAACCAGCATAAGTGTTTAACCCATTGCGCCACTGGATGCTCCTGGTACTAGAAATAATATCATACGAAAACTGACTGGCACAACCTGGGGATCACAACCAGACCCAGTGAAGACATCTGCCCTTGTGCTTTGTTACACTGATGCTGAATACGCATGCCCAGTATGGAATACATCTCACCACGTTAAAACAGTGGATGTGGCTCTTAATGAGACATGCCACTTTATCACAGGATATCTACGCCCTACACCGCTGGAGAAATTACACTGTTTAGCCGGTATTGCACCACCAGACACCCATTGGAAAGTAACAGCCTGTAATGAAAGGACCAAGCAATGACATCTCCGGCCTATCCTCTGTTCGGATATCAGCCAACAAGCCAACCCCTTATATCAAGAAACAGCTTCCTAAGACGTACAGATATACTTGCAGGAACACTGCAGCAAGCAAGAGTCCAAAAGTGGCAGGCTAAAGCCTCTCAATCAGTGGCTGATACCAGATGAGAGACTCCCTCCTGGGTACACAGAGGACTAGCGACTTGGAAGACGGTAAACAGACTGCGCTCTGGCACCACGAGATGCAGGGCTTACCTTAAGAAATGGGGCTACAAAGTGAAGTCCACGACATATGAATGTGGAGGAGCTCAAACCATAGACTATCTAAAACAATGCAGCCTGAGCCCTGCCACATGCACAATGGAGGATATTCTTAGAGCAACACCAGAGGCACTCTAGCTTCCCAGCTTCTGATCAAAGGACAATATAATCACGTGTTTAATGTTGTTTTTCTATATATTATAACTTGATAATAATATAGATCTCAAAAGACAACTTGGCAAAATGGCACTACCTAAAAGAATCCCACACCTTATGTGACTGTGGAGCAGAATAGACAACTTCACATCTGTATGCTTGTCCACTATGCCCTGCCTCATGTACAGAGGAAGAATTATTGGAGGCTACAGACAGTGCCATTGCTGTTGCCCATTTTTGGCCAAAAGTTGTTTAGCTACCTGCGCTCCTTCTATTTTTATCAGTTTTATACTAATTTATGCAATGCTTTTGATACAAAATAAATAAATATATTCTCAATTCACTTCGGACATGATAAATAAATAAGTACATGAAGACCACAAGTTACAAACAAGATGGGTTTAGCAGATGTGTTCTTAAGTTGAATTTGTACGTAAGGCGGAACAGGTACATTTTTAAGTGTAACTCCAACCACACACACACACACACACACACACACAAATACATACTTTGGATAGCATAGGGAAGGGTTAACATCCCTATGGTGTTTGTTTTGCTAACCATGCCCCTGTTCAGAAAATTCCAGCTCACTTTCTGTCCCTGTGATAATTTGATTTTGGGAAGAAATGGCTTGTTGTGGAAACAAGAATTGGTGATAAAGCTTTGGGGAGACCCCTTTCCCCCGTGATAATAACTCTTCCAGGAGTGAATTTCCCTTCCAAGGGACAGATTTCTCTCACGTCCTGTTGTGTCAGGACCCTGTTCTTATCTATGAGTCATTTGTAACTCAGGGACTGCCTGCATTATGGAATCTAACAGGCAAAGAGAAGCTGTTTAATGCAGATGTGTCCCATAGAAGCAAAACAATCCTGTGGTTTTCTGCCCATTAAACCGCATATAAATAGCTTCTGGAGGAATCTAAAAAGCACTACAAAAGAGACTCTGGAACACTGCTGCCCCCAATTGGCCGCAATCAAACATTTGCATTCAATCTTTACTTACTACCTCCTCACTACCTCTGAGGATGCTTGCCATAGATGTAGGYGAAACGTCAGGAGAGAATGCCTCWAGAACATGGCCATRTAGCCCRAAAMMAYCTACAACAACCCAAATCTTTACTTACTTCACCAARCAATAGTTCCYCACTTGGAACTAAGGGTACATCTCCACTGCAGAATTAAAGCGGTTTGACACMACTTGTAACTGCCATGGCTCAATGCTAAGGAATSCTRGGAGTTTGRTGAGGCRMYRGSACTCYCTGGCAGAMAAGGCAAAAKACCTTGTAAAAYTGCAAATCCCAGAACCSCAGAGMATWAAGCTAGGCCAGTGAAAGTGGGGTCAAACKGCAATTATTATTGWTGTGGGGGGTTGCTGTGAGTTTTTCASGCTATCTGGCCATGTTCCCAGAAGCATTCTCTCCTGACGTTTTGCCCACATTTATGGYAGGCACCCTCRGAGRTTGTGASRTYTRTTGGAAACTAGGCAAGTGAGATTTATACACCWGTGGAATAATGTCCAGGGTGGGAGAAATAACTCGTCTGCTTGAGATAAGAGTGAATGTTGCSATTGGCCAYCTTGATTAGCATTGAATGGCCTTGCAGCTTCAAAGCCTGGCTGTTTCCTGCCTGGGGGAATCCTTTGTTGGGAAGTGYTAGATGGATACACCAGTGGAATAATGACCAGGGTGGGAGAAAGAACTTGTCTGCTTGAGGCAAGTGTGAATGTTGCCATTAGCCACCTTGATTAGCATTGAATGGCCTTGCAGCTTCAAAGCCTGGCTGTTTCCTGCCTGGGGGAATGCTTTGTTGGGAGGTGTTAGATGCATACACCAGTGTATCCAGGGTGTGTGTGAGAAAGAACTCGTTTGCTCGAGGCAAGTGTAAATGTTGCCATGGGCCACCTTGATTAGCATTGAATGGCCTTGCAGCTTTAAAGCCTGGCTGTTTCCTGCCTGGGGGAATACTTTGTTGGGAGGTGTTAGATGGATACACCAGTGGAATAATGTCCAGGGTGGGAGAAAGAACTCGTCTGCTTGAGACAAGTGTGAATGTTGCCATTGGCCACCTTGATTAGCATTGAATGGCTTTGTAGCTTCAAAGCCTGGCTATTTCCTGCCTGGGGGGGAATCCTTTGTTGGGAAGTGTTAGATGGCCCTGATTGATTCTTGTATGGAATTCCCCTGTTTTTTTTAGTGTCGCTCTTTATTTACTGTCCTGATTTTAGAGTTTTTCAACAGAAAGGAGGAAACCATGAAAATGAACAAATTCTGGCTACCAGTATTAAAAAACTCCAAAATCAGAATAATAAATAAGGCCAAAATATTATAATAAATAAAACCAAATGTAAATGAAAAGCAAGCTGTCCTTGGAAGCGTTTTCATGAAACGAAGAACCCCCTTTCGCCATCAAAGGATACTGAACCGGCATCTGTAATGACCTGAAGCACAATCGTAATAGAAGATCGGGGATGTAGCGTACCCAAAACTACTGCTTCACATGTCTTCTTGATCATCTGCTCTCTGCTTCTTTCGTAGACACCTGGAAAAAGGGGACAACAAACAAGAGCAACCAATAAGCCTATAGGAAACAAAAGGTGCATCTACACTGCTTTAACTGCCATGGCTCAGTGATGTGGAATTAAGGGAGTTGTAGTTTGGCAAGACACCAGCACTCCTTGGCAGAGAAGGTTGAAGACCTTGTAAAACTACAACTCATACGATTCCATAGCTTTGAGGCATAGCAGTTCAAGTGGTGTCAAACTGAATTAATTTGACAGTGCTGATTGAACTCTAAGACTGAAAGCAATCATCTTCCTATGCAAGTAAGGTTTAACACACACACACACACACATATACACACACACATATAAATATACAATAGAGTCTTGCTCACCCAACATAAATGGGCCGGCAGAATGTTAGATGAGCAAAAACGCTGGATAATAAGAGATTAAGGAAAGGGCGACTAAAATGATCAAGGGTCTGGAGAAGAAGCCCTATGAGGAGCGGCTTAAGGAGCTGGGCATGTTTAGCCTGAAGAAGAGAAGGCTGAGAGAAGATATGATAGCCATGTATAAATATGTGAGAGGAAGCCACAGGGAGGAGGGAGCAAGCTTGTTTTCTGCTTCCTTGGAGACTAGGACTCGGAACAATGGCTTCAAACTACAAGAAAGGAGATTCCATCTGAACATGAGGAAGAACTTCCTGACTGTGAGAGCCGTTCAGCAGTGGAACTCTCTGCCCCGGAGTGTGGTGGAGGCTCCTTCTTTGGAAGCTTTTAAACAGAGGCTGGATGGCCTCTGTCAGGGGTGATTTGAATGCAATATTCCTGCTTCTTGGCAGAATGGGGTTGGACTGGATGGCCCATGAGGTCTCTTCCAACTCTTTGATTCTAGGATTCTGATTCTATGAAATTACGTTATGATTTTACTAATTAAGCACCAAAACATCATGTTTTACAACAAATCGACAGAAAAAGCAGTTTAATACACGGCAACGTTGTGTAGTAATTACTGTATTATGAATTTAGCACCAAAACATCACAATGTATTGAAACAGCTGTGGTGGAGCCAGACAGAAGGCAGACTGTGTTGGATAATACAGAATGTTGGATAAGTGAAGGTTAGATATGCGAGACTCTACTGTGTGTGTGTGTGTGTATGGGGAGGGTTGAATGAAAAGTAATGCCTCCACCTTTGTAACTTGGGTTTGGATGGGAATATTTTAATAATTCAAACACAGAAATAATCCATAGAATGTGCTTTTTAACTACCACTATTCACTTTTCCACATAATCACCAAACAATTGGATACATTTCTGCCAATGATGAACAAGTTTCCTGAAGCCGTCACGGAATAAGTCGACACAAGTTTTATCACCAATCCTTGTTTCCACAAGAGTAGAAATTCCAAAATCCAATTATCACAGGAACAGAAAGTGAGGTGAAATCTTCTGAACAGAGGCATCAACAGCAAAACAAACTCCACAGGGGTGTGAAACCTCCCCTATGCTATTCAAAACTTGTTTGTGTGTGTGTGTGTGTGTACCTGGAGTTACAGTTAAAAAGTGTACTTCTTGTAACTTACAAATTCAACTTAAAAACAAACCTACAGAACCTATTTTGTTTGTAACTTGGAGGCTGCCTGCATATTTATTTTATTTCACTATCAAAGGGGACTCAGGGTGTCCTTACAAAGGCAACAATTAGATGGTGCATATACACATACCACAAAAAATAAACAAAAGCATTAAGACCAAACCAATTAAAACACGACATCTCTTCTGACACACACGCAGAGAGAGAGCTCAAAGCACACAGCACATACTCTCCATATTCTCCATACCAGTAGTTCTCCACCTTCCTAATGCCACAACCCCTTAATAGAGTCCCTCGTGTGGTGGTAACCCCCAACCATAACATTATTTTCGTTGCTGCTTCATAACTGTAATTTTGCTACAGTTATGAATCGTCATGTAAATATCTGATATGCAGGATGTATTTTCATTCACAGGACCAAATTTGGCACAAATACCCGATACGCTCAAATTTGAATACTAGTGTGGTTGGGGGAGATTGATTTTGTAATTTGGGAGTTGTAATTGCTGGGATTTATAGTTAACCTACAAACAAAGAGCATTTTGAACCTCACCAACCATAGAATAGGGTCAAACTTCCCACACAGTACTCCCATAATCAACAGAAAATACTGGAAGAGTTTAGTGGGCATTGACCTTTAATTTTGTAGTTCACCTATTTATTTATTATTTATTTCAGAGTTTTATATACCGACCTTCTCACCTCTTTTGAGGGACTCAAGACCGGTTTCCAACCATAAAAACACATACAATCGGTAAAAACATCATAGTTCATATTACAATAACACATTAAAACAACAAATATATCGAAAACTACAGTGGTCAGTCGTCATACTAAAAACAATTATACATCATCTTCCACCCATGTCTTAGGGTGCTGTCTCACTCATCAAAAGCCTGTCTCCATAACCACGTCTTCACCTGTTTCCTAAAAGCCAGGATAGAAGGGGCGGTTCTGATCTCCGGTGGGAGAGAGTTCCAGAGTCGCGGGGCCACCACCGAGAAGGCCCTGTCCCTCGTCCCCACCAGACGCGCTTGTGAGGCCGACGGGACCGAGAGCAGGGCCTCTCCAGACGATCTTAATAATCTTGATGGTTCATAGGGGAGAATATGTTCGGAGAGGTAAAAGGGCCGGAGTTGTTTAGGGCTTTAAAGGTTAACACCAGCACTTTGAATTGTGCTACATCCAGAGAGCACTGTGGCCTGAAACAATGTTAGATCTGGACTAACTTTGGCATGAAATCTCAGTATGCCCAAATGTAAACACTGGTGGGGTTTAGGGAAAATAGAGCTTGGAAGGATAGATTTTGACATTTGGGAGTTGTAGTTGCTGGAATTTATAGTTCACCTACAATCAAAGCGCATTCTGAACCCCACCAACGATAGAATTGGGGCAACCTTCCCACAATGAACCCGCATGACCAACAGAAAATACTGTGTTTTTTATGGTCTTTGGAGACCTGTCTGACACACCCTTGCGACTCCCAGAGGAGTCCCGATCCCCAGGGTGAGAAATGCTGATTTAGATCTTATTGCTCTCACCTCTGCAGGAGTCTACCGTATACCATGCAGCTGTGGACAAATCATCATAGGGATCACCAAACGCAGCGCCCAAACACGTATCAAGGAACATGAAAGGCATTGCAGACTACTTCAACTGGAGAAGTCAGCCATAGCAGAGCACCTGATGAAACAACCTGGACACAGCATATTATTCGAGAACACAGAAATGCTGGACCACTCCAACAACCACCATGTCAGACTACACAGAGAAGCCATTGAAATCCACAAGCATGTGGACAATTTCAACAGAAAGGAAGAAACCATGAAAATGAACAAAATCCAGCTACCAGAACTAAAAAACTCTAAAATTGGAACAGCACAACAACAGAGAGGAAACAAACAAGGACATCTAATCACCTCTCAACAAAAGATTGCTCCAGGCTCTGTCAGGCCATCAAATGCTAATCAAGGTGGTCAGTTGAAACATTCACACCTAGCTCCAACAGACAAGAGTCCTTTATCCCACCCTGGTCATTCCACAGATATATAAACCCTTTTTCCTAGTTCCAACAGACCTCACTACCTCTGAGGATGCTTGCCATAGATGCAGGTGAAACGTCAGAAGAAAATGCCTCTAGAACATGGCCTTATAGCCCGAAAAAACCTACAACAAGCCAGTGATTCCGGCCATGAAAGCCTTCGACAATACAAAGATTTCTATGACAAGGAAAAGGTGTTCTTTTTTTGTTGTGAAAAGGCACTTCAAAAACTACTCCAGTAAATAAGCCCTAAAGGCATACATACAAAAATCGCATTTCGTTTAATCCTAATATCATCAAATCTGCAAATAAGATCAGCAGCACTTTAATTTTGGGGAGAAAAAAGGAAAGCGATTTGTATCCGGGGGGGGGGGGGGGGAGGGGGACTAAACTTTTTGTTTCTTAATTTAATTATTCACAGCCAATCAAGACCCCCTGGAGGCTTCAAGGCATTGAAAAGTCTCAGCAGGAAGAGAGGGAAGTAAGATGAGAATTTCATACTTTTCGCCCCCCTCTGATAGCAGTAATTTTTCATTTTGGGGCTCCCTGCGGAGGGAACAAGATAGCCAGATGGCATCGCCGCAGGATTCCAGATGGACCACTTCGTTGAATTCATAACAGCTCAGCTCACCTTTTGATTGCACGGGTTTCCAGCTGAGAAGGAGCGGGAAAAGGGACTGGTGAGAATGCTAAATGTGTTGTTGTGTACCTGCCAGGCATCTCCGAATTGCATTGTGATATTAAACCGCGTTATATGAGTTCACATGGACAATATAAAGCAGTTTCAAACTACATTATATAGCACTGCAGAGGGATTATAGAGATCCAGGCAGTCATGCAGAAACAATCAAATAGGTGCTTTTCTGCTGTGCTCCAAAGCCTACAACATCCTCAAATTTGGGCACAAAACAGCCTGATATTGCTGTGTTGTAAATAAAAGTACTAAAACCCAGTGTTTTGGCTTCATTGTTCAAACAAAAACATTGAAGGGGCAAAATGAGGCTAAATATAAAAGCAAAACTAAAACAGGTATAAGATACAAGAGCAAAAATTGCTTCAAAGTAATAAAAAAAACACCATAGTAATAATTAAAATTATTATTACTATGTATTATTACTATGTCCCCGGTGGCACAGTGGGTTAAAACCCTGTGCCGGCAGGACTGAAGACTGACAGGTCGCAGGTTCGAATCCAGGGAGAGTGCGGATGAGCTCCCTCTGGCAGTTCCAGCTTCTCATGAGGGGACGTGAGAGAATCCTCCCACAAGGATGATAAAACATCAAAAAACATCCGAGCGTCCCCTGGGCAACGTCCTTGCAGACAGCCAATTCTCTCACACCAGAAGCAACTTGCAGTCTCTCAAGTTGCTCCTGACACGACAAAATAATTATAATAATAATAATAATAATAATAATAATGTATTGTCGAAGGCTTTCATGGCCGGAATCACTGGGTTGTTGTAGGGTTTTTCAGGCTATATGGCCATGGTCTAGAGGCATTTTCTCCTGACGTTTCGCCTGCATCTATGGCAAGCATCCTCAGAGGTAGTGAGGTCTGTTGGAACTAGGAAAAGGGGTTTATATATCTGTGGAATGACCAGGGTGGGACAAAGGACTCTTGTCTGCTGGAGCTAGGTGTGAATGTTTCAACTGACCATCTTGATTAGCGTATAATGTTTCAACTGACCATCTTGATTAGCCTGACAGTGCCTGAAGCAAACTTTTGTTGAGATGTGATTAGATGTCCTTGTTTGTTTCCTCTCTGTTGTTGTGCTGTTGCAATTTTAGAGTTTTTTCATGCTGGTAGCCAGATTTTGTTCATTTTCATGGTTTCCTCCTTTCTGTTGAAATTGTCCACATGCTTGTGTATTTCAATGGCTTCTCTGTGTAGTCTGACATGGTGGTTGTGAGAGTGAGAAAAATTCTCTGCAGTTATAGGACCCCAGGAAAAGTGGAAAAATGTGAATAAAAATCCACTTTTTATCTGCAAGAATATTTCTTAAGGAATTTGCAGGTCCTCTAGATGCAGTTTGACATCGCTTTAACTACTATGGCTCAATGCTATGGAATTCTGGGAAATGTAGTTTGGTGAGACAACAGTACTCTTTGGTATAGAAGGCTGTAGACCACATTTTCTCAACCTGGGGGTCAGGACCCCAGAGGGAAAGGCATGAGGGGGATGTCAGAAGGGTCGCCAAAGACCACGAGAAAATTTATTTATTTATTTATTTGTTTGTTTGTTTATTTATTTAAAAGTTTTGTATACCGGCCTTCTCACCTCTCTTGAGGGACTCAGACCGGTTTCCAACCATAATATACACAGTATAACACAGTATTTTCTGTTGCTCATGGGGGTTCTGTGTGAGAAGTTTAGCCCAATTCTATCATTGGTGGAGTTCAGAATGCTCTTTGACAGAAGGTGAACTACAAATTCCAGCTACTACAACTCCCAAATGTCATGGTATATTTTCCTCAAACTCCACCAGAGTTCACATTTGGTCATTATTAATTTATTTACTTTATTTGTATACCGCTCTTCTCAGTCCTTAGGTGACTCAGAGCGGTTTACAACAGTTTAGATATACAGGATACAAAATCATTAAGCATTTAAAAACAAAAGCATCACAAGTCATTAACATCATTAACATCAGCATCAAAAACATCAATACACCAATATAACAAATCCATCTGGTCTAGTCAGTGAAATCAGAATCCAAAACTTGTTATCCATTATTCTGTGTTCCAATAATCAGTCAATCAATCACACTGCTTAGTCGAATGCCTGTTCAAACATCCAGGTCTTTACTTTCCTCCGGAATGCCAGCAAGGAGGCCGATCTAATATCTGCAGGAAGGGCGTTCCACAGCCGAGGGGCCACCACTGAGAAGGCCCTGTCTCTCGTCCCCGCCAGGCATGCTTGTGAAGCCGGCGGGACCGAGAGCAGGGCCTCCCCAGACGATCTTAATGTCCTAACTGGTTCATAGGAGGAGATCCGTTCGGACAGGTAGGTCGGGCCAGAACCGTTTAGGGCTTTAAAGGCTAAAGCCAGCACTTTGAATTGTGCCCGGTAGCAAATTGGCAGCCAGTGGAGCTGGCGCAGCAGAGGAGTGGTATGCTCCCTGAGTGCCGCTCCTGTTAGCATCCTGGCTGCCGATCGTTGGACCATTTGAAGCTTCCGAGCAGTCTTCAGAGGCAACCCCACGTAGAGAGCGTTGCAGTAGTCTAAATGGGATGTGACTAGAGCATGGACTACCGTGGCCAAGTCAGGCTTCCCAAGGTACGGGCGCAGCTGGCGCATGGGCATATTGAGTGTTTGTGCCAAGTTTGGTCCAGATCCATCATTGTTTGAGTCCACAGTGCTCTCTGGATGTAGGTGAACAACAACTCCCAAACTCAAGGTCAATGCTCACCGAACCTTTCCAGTACTTTCTGTTGGTCATGGGAGTTCTGTGTGCCAAGTTTAGTTATATTCCATCGTTGGTGGAGTTCAGAATGCTTTTTGATTGTAGGTGAACTATAAATCCCAGCAACTACAACTCCCAAATGACAAAATCAACCCCCCAACCCCACCAGTATTCAAATTTGGGCATATCGGGTATTTGTGCCAAATGTGGTCCAGTGAATGGAAATACATCCTGCATATCAGATATTTACATTACAATTTATAAGAGTAGCAAAATTACAGTTATGAAGTAGCAACAAAAATAATTTTATGGTTGGGGGTCACCACAACATAAGGAACAGTATTAAGGGGTCATGGCATTAGGAAGGTTGGGAAACACTGCTGTAGACCTTGAAACACTACAACTCTCATGATTCCATAGTACTGAGCCATGGCAATTGAAGCTGTGTGGAAATGTATATACTCTGCAGTGTAGCTGCACCATTTGTGGTCCACTTCTGCACTGGGGAATCTAGAATCAAATCCATGAAATATACTATTTTTGTTCCTAGGTTATAAATGACATTTCCTAATCGGTTCTATCACTAAAACATGGAAAAGGGTATATTAAACTGTAAAAACATTGTTTTTGTGGAACATCCTGCAGCACATTTTGGTAGAATTTTTCAATGACTATCTCATCAAGTCTCTCAACCAATTCAACATACGAAGCTCTTTGTGGCAACCACAAAAACAAAGTTTCTAGAGTATAACAACTACTTTCAAAATAAGTACCACACAATTAATCAGAAATAATACTTTCAGACCAGGAACAGAAACTTTTTCCAAATTGTGTTACATAGTGTAATCAAATCCACAACGTCAAACCTACAAATATGGAGGTGCGACTATATTTTTTGCAACAGATGACTCTCACCAGGTAAGCCCACTTTCGGCCTCAGCATGACTTCCAAGGTGGCTTTGTCATAGATCTCTTTGCTGACCTTGACTTCTGAAGGTCCGTACACACCAGCCAGGACTGAAGTGTCACCTAAAAACACAAAGAAACCAGCTTACTTGTCTGAATGCATCTGCCTCTACGTCCCACCTCGTAACCTAAGATCATCCGAGGAGGCTCTGCTCTCGCTTCCACCAACATCGCAAACACGGCTGGTGGGGACGAGGGACAGGGCCTTCTTGGCGGTGGCCCCCCACCTGTGGAACACACTTCCAAATGAGATACGATTGACCCCATTCCTCCTGGCTTTTAGGAAAAAAGTAAAATTGTGGTTGTGGGACCAGGCCTTCAGTCAGCAGACATAAAGCAGAACTTTGGTTGAAATGGACTGGAAAGACGATTTACATGAGGATATCATTTTATTGATAATTAAGATTTTATACTGTTTAATTAATTGAGTCGCCTAAGGGCTGAGAAAAGCGGTATATAAATAAAGTAAATAAATAATAAATAAATAAAGGCTTATGTATTTTATGTATTTTAATGGTTTGATGGTTTTTGTTTAATGGTTATTGTATTAATTGTTCATTGTATTAATTGTTCATGTAACGACATCGAATTGCTGCCTATGTAAGCCATCCTGAGTCTCCCTTTCGGAGTAGAGAAGAGATGGGATATAAATACCAGAAATAAATAATAATGAATAGGGCAAAGATGATTGATTAGCTTATTTCAAAGCAGAACAATACATCTAAAGAAACATATAAAAAGCAAACATTATATAGTGGAGTCAAATTATCCTTAATGTTGTTGTTGTGTGCTTTGGAGTAGTTTCCAAGTCATGGCAACTCTGAGACGAAGCTACTACAGGGTTTTCTGGCAGGATTGGTTCAGGAGAAGTTTGCCATTGGCTTCCGTTGAGGCTGAGAGAGTATGACTTGGTCAAAGTCACGTGGTGAGTTTGATGGCCCAGTAAGGAGTTGAATCCTGGGGTGCACTGTAGAAATACGTTTGACTTTAAGGGACACATCTAAATGCTGTGGAATCCTGGGAATTGTAGTTTGACAAGGACTTTAGCCTTCTCAACCATATAATGTTAGTGCCTTACCAAACTACAACTTCCAGTATTCCAAAGCATTGAACAATGACAGTGGTGTCAAACTGTATTAATTTCACAGTGTATATGTCTCCAAAGTAGTTTTGTTGTTGTTATTATTATTATTATTATTATAATAATAATAATAAATAAAACTTTATTTATACCCCGCTACCATCTCCCCAAGGGACTCGGTGGCTTACATGAGGCCAAGCCCACAGTACATCAGTAAACAAAAGCAATAACAAAAACAATCAATACAAAACAATTAATATAAATCACATAAACAAAAAATAAACAATAAACAATAACAGTAACACACAAGCATTTAAAAAACCTATGGCCGGGCCAAATGTAATAATTTAAAAATTTAAAAATAATGCTGGACATGAACAAGGTAGGATATAACTGGGATAGGGTTTTTCAAAGAGAGATGAGGGAATGCAGTCAGTCCTAAATCATGGTAAAGTGCATTTTGAGGGCATATTGCTGAGAGTTTTCCTTATTCTGGGAAGGCACACTGGAACAACCACGTTTTCAGGCTCCTCCTAAAGACTGCCAGAGTTGGGGCATGTCTGATGTCCCTGGGAAGTGAGTTCCAGAGTCGAGGAGCCACCACCGAGAAGACCATTTCCCTCGTCCCCACAAATCACGCCTGCGAAGGAGGTGGGAGCGTGAGCAGGGCCTCTCCAGATGATCGAACAGATTGTGTGGGTTCGCACACAAAAATGCGGTCATGCAGGTAGGCGGGTCCCAAACCATTCACAGCTTTGTAGGTAAGAACCTGAACCTTGAATTGGGTCCGGTAGATGAATGGCAGCCAGTGGAGCTCCTTGAAGAGGAGGGATGACCTCTCCCTGTAAGGAGCCCCGGTTAACAACCTGGCTGCCGCCCGTTGGACCATCTGGAATTTCCGAGCTGTTTTCAAGGGCAGTCCCACATAGAGTGCATTACAGTAATCCAGTCTAGAGGTGACTAAGGCATCCTGGCCAGATCCAACTTCACGAGGTACGGTCGCAGCTGGCGCATGAGTCTTAATTGTGCGAAGGCCCTCCCGGGTACAGTGGGTTCATGTAGGGTTTTTTTGGACTATATGCCCATGTTCTAGAGGCATTCTGTCCTGACATTTCACCTGCATCTATGGCAAGCATCCTCAGAGGTTGTGAGGTCACTACCTCTGAGGATGCTTGCCATAGATGCAGGCAAAACGTCAGGAGATAATGCCTCTAGAACATGGCCATATAGCCCTAAAAAACCTACATCAACCCACTGTACTGTAATGTTTTAATGATAGCTGCTTTGACGGCCCTTCCAGACAGGTGCTATATCCCAGGATCTGATCCCAGGTTTTCTGTTTATCTCAGATTACTTGACAGTGTGGACTCATATAACCTCAGATTACCTGACAGTGTGGACTCATATAATCCAGTTTAAAGCAGAAAACTTGGGATCAGATCCTGGGACACAGGGCTTGCTTGGGGCCCCTTCCAAGGCCCTTTCACACAGGCCTATATCCCAGAATATCAAGGCAGAAAATCCCACATTATCTGAGTGTGAACTCAGATAAATTAGTTCAAAGAGGATATTTTGGGATTTTGTGCCTTGATATTCTGGGTTATATGACTGTGTGGAAGGGCCCTAGAAAGGCCCTGAGTCTCCTTATGGAGTTCACCCCCTACCAATCCACGAGATCACTTCGTTCAGACGATTAGAATCCCCTTTAAGTTCCCAATTTTAGCTTCTTTCACTTGATGTCTACTAGGCGTAGAGCTTTCACAGTGGTGGCTCCCTATCTGTGGAATACCTTGCCAGCGGGAACACGAGCTCTCAGAGATTTACCTTCTTTTCGAAGAGCTTGTAAAACTTATTTATTTACATTGGCATTTGAATTTTGCTGATTGAAGTTTTTCGTGTTCTTATATGTCAGTGTTTCTCAACCTGGGGGTCGGGACCCCTGGGGGGGGTCGCGAGGCAGTATCAGGGGGGTCAGCAAAGACCATCAGAAAACACAGTATTTTCTGTTGGTCATGGGGCTTCTCTGTGGGAAGTTTTCACCCAATTCTATTGTTGGTGGGGTTCAGAATAATCTGAGTGTAGGTGAACTATAAATCCCAGAAACTACAACTACCAAATGTCAAGGTCTATTTTCCCCAAACTCCACCAGTGTTTACAGTTGGGCATAATTGAGCATCCGAGCCAAGTTTGGTCCAGATCTATCATTGTTTGAGTCCACAGTGTTCTCTGGATGCAGGTGAACTACAACTCCAAAACTCAAGGTCGGTGCCCACCAAACACTTCCAGTATTTTCTGTTGGTCATGGGAGTTCTGTGTGCCAAGTTTGGTTCAATTCCATCATTTTTGGAGTTCAAATGCTCTTTGAGTGTAGGTGACCTACAAATCCCAGCAACTATAACTCCCAAATGACAAAATCAATCCCCCGCAGCCCCACCAGTATTCAAATTTGGGCCTATCAGGTATTTGTTCCAAATTTGGTCCAGTGAATGAAAATATATCCTGCATATCAGATATTTACTCTGCAATTCAGAACAGTAACAAAATTACAGTTATGAAATAGCAACTAAAATAATGTTATGGCTGGGGGTCACCACAACATCAGGAACTGTATTAAGGGGTCGCAGCATTAGGAAGGTTGAGAACCACTGTTATATGTAATGTATTACATGTGTATATTGTAAACCGCTCCGAGCCTTTGGGGAGTGGCGGTATATAAAAATGATAAATAAATAATTAAGTGGGATATAAATAAACATAATAATATTAATAATTAAAAAAAACAAATAAACCTACACTTCCAAAAGTTAAAAAGCAATCACATTTAAAACCATTCTTTCTTTCGTTTTTTTCGTGTATTACATGTGTATATTGTAAACTGCTCCGGGCCTTCGGGGAGTGGCAGTATATAAAATTGATAAATAAATAAATAAATAAATAAGTGGGATATAAATAAACATATTTTTTTGTCGTGTCAGGAGCATCCTGTTGTGAGAGAATTGGCCGTCTGCAAGGACGTTGCCCAGGGGACGCCCGAATGATTTTGATGTTTTATCATCCTTGTGGGAGGCTTCTCTCATGTCCCCGCATGAGGAGCTGGAGCTGATAGAGGGAGCTCATCCGCCTCTCCCCGGATTTGAACCTGCGACCTGTCGGTCTTCAATCCTGCTGACACAGGGCTTTAACCCATTGCGCCACCGGGGGCTCCATAATAAACATAATAATAATAAACTACGCTTTCAAAAGTTAAAAAGCAATCACATTTAAAACCATGCAGTTTTCTCTTAAAAGGGAATTATTATTTTTTAAAAAATATTCAAGATATAAAGGTCTTCGCTTGCCAACAGAAGGAGATGAATCTACACTGCAGAATTAATGCAGTTTGATACCACTTTAACTGCTATGGCTCAAAGCTATGGGATTCTGGGTGTTGTAAAGTTGATGAAGCAGCACTCTTGGGCAGAGAAACTGCAACTTCCTTAGTACTGAGCCATGGGAGTTTAAGTGGTGTCAAACTGTATTAATTCTGCAGTGTAGATGCACCAAAGCAGGCATGGGCAAACTTGGGGCCTCTAGGTGTTTTGGACTCCAACTCCCAGCATTCCTAACAGTCTCAGGCCCTTTCCCTTTTCCTTCCCTCTTCTCCCTTCTTTTTTCCTTCTTTCCCTTCCTTCCTCCCTTTTCCCCCTTCCTTTTTCTCTTTCTTTTCCCCTTTCTTTCTTCCCTTCTCCCTCCTCCCCTTTCTCTTTTTTTTACCTTCTTTTTCTCCTTTTCTTTTCCCTTCCTCAGCCCTCAGGCCCTTTCCTCTTTCCCCCCTCAGCTGCTTAAGCGGCTGAGGGGGAAAAGGAAGGGGCCTGAGACTGTTAGGAATGCTGGGAGTTGGAGTCCAAAACACCAGGAGGGCCTAAGTTTGACCTAGAGACAGCCCCAAAGAAGGGCAGAAGGGATAATAATTATAATTATTGTTATTATTATTAGCCAGGGCTGACCCTGCATCCAGGAAACGGAGCCATCGGGACGGGAAAGCAGTCCCTGTTCACACACGATTCGGCGCAACGAAGGAAGATCCCCAGAATCGTACTTCTTCTGTTGGCTCTCCATGGCGCCAATTCCACCCACGTGCTTCCCCTGGACGCTTCCGCATCCGGGGAATTTACCGACCAGCCTATGAGAAGCCGCTTGGCGCTAAGCTCCGCCCACTTTTAAAGCGAGGAACAAAAGTAAATATTGACAGCTCTACGGCTCCACTCCCATGGAATGCCGGGATTTGCAGTCCAGGGGTGGGGTTAGAATGATGAAAGCCTGCCTCGCTGAACTACAAGTACCAGAACCCCTCCGAAGGGAACATAGAGCTATGAGAGTGGCAGTGACGGAGGCGTGGCTCCGGCTGTCCGCTAGGCCAAGTGAAAATGGCGGCGGCCACAACGACGTCGGCTCGACTTGGGCTTCGTTCTCTGAAGCGGTTGCTGCTAGGCCGCACGCGGTTTCCCGGACGGGCCCCGGCCCGAGGCCTTCGCGCTGGAGTGAGTCCCCGAGGCCAAAGGCTCTCCTGTATAGAAACCCCTGGAAGAGGCTTTTCCCTCTCTTCCCCCTTCCCTAATTGTGGGAGAAGAGGAATAGCTAGGTTCTTGTAGGTTTTTTCGGGCTATAGGGCCATGTTCTAGAGGCATTTCTCCTGACGTTTCGCCTGCATCTATGGCAAGCATCCTCAGAGGTAGTGAGGTCTGTTGGAAATAGGAAAATGGGTTTATATATCTGTGGAATGACCAGGGTGGGACAAAGGACTCTTGTCTGCTGGAGCTAGGTGTGAATGTTTCAACTGACCACCTTCATTAGCATTTGAAGGCCTGGCTGAGCCTGGGAAAATCTTTTGTTGAGAGGTGTTAAGATGTGCCTGGTTGTTTCCTCTCTGCTGTTTTGCTGTTTTAATTTTAGAGTTTTTTAATACTGGTAGCCAGATTTTGCCATTGAAATCCACAAGCATGTGGACAATTTCAACAGAAAGGAAGAAACCATGAAATCTGGCTACCAGTATTAAAAAATTAAAAAATTACAACAGCAAAACAGCAGAGAGGAAACAACCAGGCATATCTTAACACCTCTCAACAACATTTTCCCAGGCTCAGGCAGGCCTTCAAATGCTAATGAAGGTGGTCAGTTGAAACATTCACACCTAGCTCCAGCAGAGAAGAGCTCTTTGCCCCACCCCAGCCATTCCACAGATATATAAACCCATTGTCCTACTTCCAACAGACCTCACTACCTCTGAGGATGCTTGCCATAGATGCAGGCGAAACGTCAGGAGAAAAATTGCCTCCAGAACATGGCCCTATAGCCCGAAAAAACCCACAAGAACCTATTATTATTGTTATTCTGCTTTTATCTCTTGGTTGCCATTATTATTATTATTATTATTATTATTATTATTATTATTATTATTATGTATTGTTGAAGGCTTTCATGGCCGGAATCACTTGGTTTTTGTAGGTTTTTTCGGGCTATATGGCCATTTTCTAGAGGCATTCCTCCTGACGTTTTGCCTGCATCTATGGCAAAAGTCCTTTGTCCCACCCTGGTCATTCCACAGATATATAAACTCTTTTTCCCAGTTCCAACAGACCTCACTACCTCTGAGGATGCTTGCCATAGATGCAGGCGAAACGTCAGGAGAAAATGCCTCTAGAACATGGCCATATAGCCTACAACAACCCATTATTATTATACTTTTGTCTCTTAGTTGCTATTATTATTATTATTATTATTATTATTATTATTATTATTCTACTTTTATCTCTTGGTTGCCATTATTATTCTGCTTTTGTCTATTGGTTGTCATTATTATTATTATTATTCTGCTTTTGTGTATTGGTTATTATTATTATTATTATTATTATGCTTTTATCTCTTGGTCACCATTATTAGTATTATTAGTGTCATTCCACTTTTATCTCCTGTTGGGGGTGCTTTGAATGCAATTTTCCTCCTTGGCAGGGAGTTGGACTGGATGGCCCACGAGGTCTCTTCCAATTCTATGATTCTATCCTGGTTGCCATTATTAGTATTAGTAATATTATCTCGCTTTTATTCTTGGTCACAGTTCATTATTATTATTGTTATTGTGCTGTTATCTCATGGTTGCCACTATTATATTTGTTTACATCCTGCTTTTATCTCTTTGAGCGAGACACACAAACATTTAAGAAATGCAATGTAAAATCCGCAACATACAAATATTAAAAATAGAATTAAACACAAGGGATTCAATGACAGGGCTTCAAGGGGGGGGGGGAGGCATAGAATGGTTTGATTAATTGCCATTCTTAATTCCACCTAAATATTTTGTAGGTCTTTCCAACAAACAGTTTTCCAGCTTGTGGGGCCATTTTGCATCTCAGTCAATACAAATAATAATAATAATGGTGGTGGTAATGATGATAATATTTAGGAGCAGGGTCTGCCTTCAAATCATTTCCGACATATAATGATCCAAATGTGAACATATTGAGTCCCTTTAAGAGAGAGAAATGAGCATTGGACATTAAACAAATATAATAGTAATAGTAATAATAAGAATAGGATTTTTCTTGGCAAGATTTCTTCAAAACCCTTGCCTTCCTTTGAGTCTGAGAGAGAGCCACCTGCCCAAGGATCACTCAGTAGAGTTCCATGGCTGAGTAGAGAATTGGGGCCAATATATTTCATAGGTATTTATATATTTTGAAATAGACCCCTTAGTTGTTGCAAGGAGATTTGTTTTCAATATGCGCCTAAGTGTGCAGATCATTTCCATTGCTTTTTGATGCTTTGTCCCTTTCCCCCCAGAAGATCATCTAAGGATATCAGGAAATTTTTTTAAAGTGTTTTCCAATACATTGGGGGGACGAGGTGGGAAGACTCCCTTTCTGGCTATTCGAGACTTTGCAGCTACTAAAACTGAGGGGAGGAGACATTCTCTCGGCCCTGTGACTTTCTCTTCCCCAATTGGGCCCTTTCAAGGGGTGTGTTGTTTTCCTGGACAGCATCCAGTCCTCACCACCCTCCTCTCTGGTTTGATTTACTTACTGAGATCAATTCGTTTCCTTGTCACAGCTTTTCAGGGCCCAAGATCAACACAAAAATATATTTTTTGTGTCTCAGACTTGACTTTGACAAGGACCTCCGGTTTCTTAATTAAACACATCCTTCCCATATCTGACACCTTAATTGACACTTTTTATTATTACTCAAACAGACTGAGCTGAATCCAGATATTGTTAGACCACAGATCCCAGCAACTCTATTCAGCTATAGCCAGTGAGTGAGAGGTGCTGGGATTCAAATCCATAATCTGGATTGGGCTATTCCCACCCTTGGATTAAAATACTATTGGGTTGTTGTAGGTTTTTCAGGCTGTATGGCCATGTTCTAGAAGCATTCTCTCCTGACGTTTCGCCTGCATCTGTGGCAGACATCCTCAGAGGTTGTGACACAACCTCTGAGGATACTTGCCACAGATGCAGGCGAAACGTCAGGAGGGAATGCTTCTAGAACATGGCCATACAGCCTGAAAAACCTACAACCCAGTGATTCCGGTCATAAAAGCCTTCAACAATACATTAAAATACTATTTGTTAAATCTATAAAGTGCTCTAGTGAGGAGGAAATGAAGGCACATTTGGAAAGTAGCTGGAAGAGAAACAACTCCTTCCCTTGCGGTGCCTTAAGCCTTAAGTGTATTGGGAGAAAGTGGGATAAAAATAAATGAAAAGCACTTTATACTTTTAGGTATGCTTGTATGAATTCCACAAACGCCACTATCACCTGTTCGTCCATGCCTCAGCACTACTTCCAATTTTAATTTTTACATTTGGCCTTCCCACAGTTTTAACTGTATGTTGTCTTATTGATAATGTTATATGTTTATCATTTATGTTTTATTTTAATTGCTTGTATTGTTGTGATTATTGCCTGTATTGTTGTGTTTGGGCTCGGCCTCATGTAAGCCGCACCGAGTCCCTTGGGGAGATGGTAGCGGGGTACAAATAAAGTGTTATTATTATTATTATTATTATTATTATTATTATTATTATTACACTTCCCCAAACACCTATCTCTTCTGGCAGGCCTACCCAGACAGTTTTAATGACGAATGTTAAACCTGCACCTTATGTTTAATATGTTTTGTGTATTTTAATATGTATTTTGTGGGAATATGTTTTAATATGTGTATTTTAAAGAACGTATGTTTTACAGTGTTTTAACCTACCTCAAGCCACGAGGAGAGGCAGGCAATAAATAATAATAATTATTATTATTACTACTACTATTATTATTATTATTACTACTACTACTACTATATTGCCAGAAGGAGGGGTTTATTACCTTTAACTGTGTTTCTTCGAGTGGTCATCTGTGAAATTTGCACGCTACAGGTATGTATTTCACAGAGACCACGCTGAAGAAAGAGGGATTGCTTATCTGTAACTTGTTTCTTCAAGTGGTCATCTGTGAAATTGGGGTGGTGACGACCGACAGGGAGCTCTGGCATGGGCTGGACCATGAGATTACGAAGAGTCGGAAGCGATTGAATGAATGAACAACAATAAACCGTGTTTCTTCGAGTGGTCATCTGTGAAATTCCCACCTGTGGCATGCATATTTCACAGAGACCACACTGAAGAATCTGGATAGGTGGATTCAACAGAATAGTAAAAGCTCAGTTGATTATAATTTATTGTTTCCAAGTTCAGGGCTAGCTAGATGACCCCCAGTGAACATTCTGTGGTTCTCCTTTTAAAAATACGAGCTCTGTGTAACAGCAGCTTTTGGAGTGATTGAAATACCAAATATTGTGCTGCTATTCTAATACTTGCGTGCATTTTTCTAGGGATGCCTCCAACAGCAGGAAGAGTTTACCTCCCTTGAGGAGAAGCCACAATTCCCCGGTGCTTCAGCTGAGTTTGTGGACAGGCTCGAGTTCATCCAACCCAATGTCATTTCCGGAATTCCCATCTACCGGGTCATGGACCGGCAGGGGCAGATTGTCAATCTCAGTGAGGACCCACAGGTGAGGCATAAAGATCCATTCGCATTGGCCAGACCCTTAAGCTTGGAGGAAAAACATCCACGAAATTTGAAAGGTCCATATTTCACTGTGTAATAGTCATCACCACATAATCGTCACACCCTTTTCTTTGGTTTCCAAAATTGTCTTCCAGTCTTTAACATGTACATTGTTTGGGGTTCATCTCCTTTCCTCCTTCTTTCTCCGAGGTAGTTTGGAAGGGGGGAGAAACAGCTTTTTGGGACTCAGATCATCCCTCCTCCTTTCTCGGAGCAGAAACTGGAGAATCAAAGGCACATTTTTTTCTTCACATAATGGTCGCACAACACCCCCTGTGGTGAAAACGTTGGCGGTGAAGAATGTTAATCAATTCAAGCCATATTTTTCTTCCAGTGCCATTTCCATGTTACTTTATTTATTTCTTTGTTGCAGCTTTCTAAGGAGCAAGTCTTGAAGTTCTACAAGAGCATGACCCTTCTGAACACTATGGATCGGATCCTATATGAATCACAGAGGCAGGTAAAGCCACAGCCCACAAACTCAGAACTGGAAGAGTGAGGAAGAGTTTGACTGCCATTGGCCAGGATCCTACCTGTCCAATATAGTGTAAGAGTCCCACAGATGGAACTCTGCTATGGCTCACCATCACCCTCATCATTGTTTTGTGCTTAGTCTTTCTGAGGAGCCATTATTTGACTGGTGGAGAGCACAGAGATCAGCATCTGGCTGTACCTCTGGAGGTGCAAACCAATGTCATCTTCTGAGATCTGTAGGATTCAAACAAACAATTTCATTAGTCTGAGTCTTATCTACAGGGCACCGTCAGATGCTTCTCCAATCCTTGTGCGCTCTCCCAGACAGCCATAGGATGAACATGTTGGGCAAGTGGGCTTAATAACAAAAGACCCTCCTCATAAATATACAGCAGAGAAACTTATTAGTAGCAGCGTGACCCAGTACCAGTAGCCAAAAGGGATAAAAGAACAAAAACACACAGACTAATGTTATCTCTTCCATTGGAGGTTTTGGAACAATGGCTTCAAACTACAAGAAAGGAGATTCCATCTGAGCATTAGAAAGAACTTCCTGACTGTGGGAGTTGTTCAGCAGTGGAACTCTCTACCCCGAAGTGTGGTAGAGGCTTCTTCTTTGGAAGCTTTTAAACAGAGGCTGGATGGCCATCTGTCGGGGATGCTTTGAATGCAATTTTCCTGCTTCTTGGCAGGGGGTTGGACTGGAAGGCCCATGAGGTCTCTTCCGATTCTATTATTCTTTATAGCAAAATAATATGGGTGCAAGAACAATGTTTCCATAACACAAATAAAGTTCCTTACACCTTTTTCTTTGTTTCCACACTGAACTTCTTTCTCATGCAGATAAACGGCTTTGCTTTTACATAACTTCCTCTCACACCAAAGTTACACAGGAGCTGTAGCTTTTTACACACAGCAGCCATTACACTGGATTTTCCTCTCACACTGAGGGTTTCTAATACTGAGGCCTACCTCACACTGAGGCCTTTCTCACATTGAGGGCTCTCTCAGACTAATGCCTCTCTCCCACTGAGGTGAACTGAGGCCTTCTCATACTGAGACCTACTAACACACTGAGCCCCTCCTCCCAGAGAGACCTCTCACAGACTGAGGACACCTAAGCTACAGTCACACCTGTTTATATAGAACTACAGCATTTGCTGAGTCCTTGCATATTTAACTGTTTCAGTGCTTGACTCATACTTTTGTAATTAAAAATACCGAGTTAATATTTCTGACAGGACAGTATTTATTTATTTACTTACTTACTTCATTTATATACCGCTTTTCTCAGCCCTTAGGTGACTCAAAGCGGTTAACAGCAGCAAAATTCAATGCTCAACAGCATAAAAACAGTTAAAAAACAATTAAAACAGTAACATAATAAATAATTAAACATCAATATAACCTCTCATTAGCGTCTCATAAGTAGAATCAAGATGCAATCTCATCATCCGTTGTTCCATATTCCTATGTTCATTACACAGTCTATTCAAATGTCTGCTCGAACAACCAGGTCTTCACTTTCCTCCGAAATGCCAATAGGGAGGGGGCCGATCTAATATCTGTAGGAAGGGTGTTCCATAGCCGAAGGGCCACCACTGAGAAGGACCCGTCCCTCGTCCCCGCCAGACGTGCCTGTGTTGCAAGCGGGACCGAGAGCAGGGCCTCCCCAGATGATCTGAATGTCCTAGCTGGTTCATAGGAGGAGATGCATTTGGACAGGTAAATTGGGCCAGAACCGTTTAGGGCTTTATAGGCTAATGCCAGCACTTTGAATTGTGCCCGGTAGCAGACTGGTAGTCAGTAATGGGGGAGACTACTGTATGGAAAGCATGGGATGGATGAAGCTTTGGGTCATTGCTGTGGGTGAAAGAGAATGCCAATCTCAACAACAACAATTAAGAAAGATACAAGCATAAAATGGATTTATGTTTGCTTTCATCAGGGACAGGAACTCTTTACGTGAGCTTTCTCCCAACTTGGAAATGGGTGAACTAGCACAAGACTGGACACGTTCTGGAGGATCATATTTTAGCCCCTAAGACAAGAGTTGCTTCTGCCCACAAAACAAAAACCCAAAAGTTTAGAGTTCCACTTCCTTGGAGAGTATTGGATAAATTTCAGGGATGTGTTATGCAGGAGGCTTCCAGAAATGTCTTACTATTTTAGCTGTGAAAAGCACGAGGAGGGATTTCTATCCTTAATATGTTGATAGAGAACAAAGTATGGCCTTTCTTCCATAAAAAAACAAGTTTGCCTTTCTTTTGCTAGGGGCGAATCTCCTTTTACATGACCAATTATGGGGAGGAAGGGACCCACATTGGCAGTGCAGCTGCTCTCGATGACACTGACCTTGTGTTTGGACAGTATCGGGAAGCAGGTAAGGTGCTGTGGGGATGTGAATCTTTGCTTGTTTTATTCTCACGTGCAAAAATGGATGATTTTAGAAGTATGAATTATTCATGTGAATTATTCAGTGGTAGATATATCTCTCAGACCTTTTTTTGGGGGGGGGGGAATCATTTGCTTTGAATGATGATTGACTTGTATTAATAACACCATGTAAAACGATTTTTATTCCTGGGTTATCAGTGTCATATCTTAATTGGTTCTATCCTAAAAACATGGAAAAAGTGTATTCAACTGACAAAACTTTGTTTGTGTGGAACATCCTGCAACACATTTTGCTCAATGAATATCCTGTTGAGTCTCAACCAATTCAGCTTCGTTTGTGGCAGCCACAAAAATGAAGTTTCTGGAGTAGAACAACTACATTCAAAGTAAGGACTGCACAATTAATGAGGAATTAACACTTTCAAATCAGGAAAAGAAAACTTTTGAATTTTGTTTCATAGTGTAAACTGAATAAGTTTTATTTTATTTTATTTTGCAATAGATTTTTATTTTATTTAAGGAAATAAGGGGAAAGGAAAGTGTTTAATATTCCAAGTAAAGTGGGAGAACAATTTGATGAAAAGAAAGTAGGAAAAAAGAGAGAGGGGAAAATGGGTACAAACTGGGGGAGCCTAATAATAATAAAAAATAAGAAAAATAAAAAAATAAACTAATAATATAAAAATGATTTTAAAAAGAAAAAAATGAAAGGTAAAAATAAAAAGGGTAAAATTGTGACTTCCTTCTAATCCTTTGAGATTTAAAGTTTGTTTGAATAAGTTTTATTTTCTGTAACAGTGTTGACTACAGCAGATTCCTTAATACATTTTTATCTTTTGTGCAATTTAATTCCCAATGTGGCTTTCTGGTTTGATACCGTTTTTAGATATTCAGATCAATTCATTAACGTCATTATAATTTGGCTTTGTTTTTGTTTTTTTTCCTTAGACTATTCTTTCTTTTTTGGGTTGTTCTTTGTTCACTTTATTTGGGAAAATAAGATGAATGGATTGCGAGAACAGGACATGCTTCAGAGTTGCTGAACACCTTGTTTATGTGGGAATGTTATTAATATTATTGATATATGACTAGGCAGATAAACCAGTATGTATTTCAGTATACCCAGGAACACTTATGGTTTGATTGCATTACTCCCTTTTCAACTGAAAGGGAGCAATGAAAGAGCCCCCTTTGGCACACTGAGTTAAACCCTTGTGCCAACAGGACTGTTGACTGAAAGGTCAGCAATCCAAATCTGGGGAGTGGGGTGAGCTCCTGTCTATCAGCTCCAGCTTCCCATATGGGGACATGAGAGAAGCCTCCCATAGGATGGTGAAACATCCAGGCATCCCCTGGGTAACGTCCTTGCAGACAGCCAATTTTCTCACACCAGAGGCGACTTGCAGTTTCCCAAGTCACTCCTGACATGGAAAAAAAACTGAAGGAGCAGGATTCTTTCTCTTCTCACTTCAGTGTATCCCATCAAATAAGTTATCTCTGTGGAGATATTGTTGATCCTGAACTTGGCTTTTTACCTAGTATATTAGCAATGAGAAACCAGTATGGGGTTGGTAGCAGTACCTTTCTATCTAATGCGGTCTCTCTTTTTGTTTGTTTCTCTAGGTGTCCTGATGCATAGGGGGTACCCTCTGGACCTCTTTATGGCACAGTGCTATGGCAATGCCAGTGACCCTGGAAAAGGCCGCCAAATGCCTGTGCATTATGGCTGCAAGGATATGCATTTTGTTACGATATCATCCCCACTGGCTACTCAAATCCCACAAGGTGAGGCATTTCTTGATTTAGGAGGGAGAGAATACATGAAGCATCCTTGTGTACTCCAGAGATTTATTTATCGTGTCAGAAGCGAGTTGAGGGTACAGTTAAAATGCATTTTAAAACACTAAGTTTTAAGAACTTGGCATAATGCTAAATATCCTTTGACAAGAAGCTGGTCTCTTCAAGTGCCTCTGGTGTCACTGTGATAAGGTCCTCCATTATGCATGTGGCAGGGCTCAGGTTGCATGGTCGTAGGTGGTCTGTGGTTTGCTCTTCTCCACACTTGCATATTGTGGACTCCACTTTATAGCCCCATTTCTTAAGGTTAGCTCTGCATCTTGTGGTGACATAGCTCAGCGTGTTTAGCATCTTCTAGGTTGTCTGTTCTTCTGTGTGCCCAGGAGGGAGTTTCTCCTCTGCCACTTATTGAGGTGCTTGGTTTTTGCCTGCCATTTTGGACTCTTGCTTGCTAAAGTGTCCCTGCGAGTATCTCTGTAGATCTTAGGAAGCTGTTTCTTGATTTCAGGCACTGACATGCTGGCTGATATCTGAACAGGGGCCCAAAATGTCAGTGCCTTGATCCTTTCATTGCTGGCTGCTACTTCCCAGCGGATGTCAGGTGGTGCGATATCAGCGAAATAGTATAATTTCTCCAGTGCTGTGGGGCGTAGACATCCTGTGATAATGCAGCATGTCTCATTAAGAGCCATGTCCACTGTTTTAACGTGGTGAGATGTTTTCCACACTGGCCATGCGTATTCAGCAGCAGAGTAGCAAATCGCAAGGGCAGAAGTCTTCACTGTGTCTGGTTGTGATCCTCAGGTTGCAACAGTCAGCTTTTGTACAATATTATTTCTAGTGCCCATTTTTTTGCTTGATATTCAAACAGTGCTCCTTATAAGTCAGAGCATGGTCCAGAGTGACTCCCACATATTTCAGTGTACTGCAATTCTCCACTGGGATTCCTTCCGAGGTAATCCTCAGAACTGAATATGCTTTCTGTGAAAAGCACACATCTGCATTTTAGATGGATTAGGAATCAACTGGTTTTCCCTGTAATAGGCAGTAAGAGCACCTAAAGCTTTGGAGAACTTCTGTTCAAAGCTCCCTGCTTGAGCGGTGATGGCACGATCATCAGCATAGATGAAATTCTCTGTTCCTTCTGTCAGAGATAAAATACTGGCACTGCCAATCAGAATTGAGAGTATCAAGTCAAAATAGATAGATTAGTGGCTTGGCTTGCTCTAAGATTGTGTCATATTGTTTAAGGGTTTTAACTATTTATTTTTTTAAACTGTTGGTATTTAATTCGATTTTAATGTTTATATGTTTTTAGGTTTTAAACTGTTTTGTATTGGTTTTTATATAAACTGCTTTGAGCCTCTATTTCGTGAGAAAAAGCAGCATATAAATGTTATTGCAATAATAATAATAATAGTAGTAATAATAATAATAATAATAATATTTTCATAGAAAAGCTTGAAACAGTTACTTTCTTGGAGTACTAAAGTGGAAAGTGAATAACTATTCTTAATTCTAGTCCATAGTTCTATTCCTTTTGAGACAGATTCTAGGATTGTGTGGCTGTCCAGGTAGACTATTTCTGTTCAGAATCCTTAAATGTTTCCACAAACCGCCCCATCACTTTTTTGCCGATGTCCAGCATTATTTTTTAATTTTAATTACATTTGGCCTACCCATAGTTTTTAAAGTGTGTTGTCCTATAGTTAATGCTTATGTTATTGTTTTATTGTCTTGGTTGTTTTTAAATTGTTTGTATTGTTGTTGTTATTGCTTGTATTGTTGTATTCTGGGCTCGGCCTCATGTAAGCCGCACCGGGTCCCCTGGGAAGATGGTAGCGGGGTATAAATAAAGTGTTATTATTATTTATTATTATTAACACTGGATGACAACATTGGTCCTGTACTTTTTCAACGAGAAGTGACTATATGAAGTCGTCGTTTTTGCAGACACAATAAATTGCCTAAGCATTGCTCCCCTTTCCTCTTCTTGTTCTCATTCCTCCCTCCTCTTCCTCTTGGCAGCTGTCGGTTCTGCCTATGCCATCAAGAGGGAGAATAACAACCGGATTGTGATCTGCTACTTTGGGGAAGGGGCTGCCAGTGAGGGCGATGCCCATGCGGGGTTCAACTTTGCCGCCACCCTGGAGTGCCCCATCATTTTCTTTTGCCGGAACAATGGTTACGCCATCTCCACTCCAACCTCTGAGCAGTACCGGGGTGATGGCATTGGTAAGTGTGTCAGCATGTAAGATTCCACCAAGCACCCTAAGTTCCCCACTGGGATCTGGATGAAGAAATCCAGGACAATCAGTGAGAGACCTTTCATATTATAGTGGTACTCATTTCAATTCACCACAGCTCTGAAAGTTTACACTTCTTTCCGAGGTGAACCAAAAGACAATTACAATACAGTTCTAAACCTCTGCACTGCTCCAAAGTAGTCATTGGCAGACAGGTGCTGTTCCATGAGACATCACTTGCTAGTCCCCAGCAAAAATAAGAAGCAGTTGCCATGGGTACAAGTATGGTACTGGTTCTTAGCACATTATGGGAAATAATTTAGTCCCTTAGGTCAGAACTGAGGAGCACAGCTGTATATATTTACTCAGAGGCAAAACCTGTCACGAAGCCAGGGCTCTGCCAGTACATAGGTGAACCAAAACAAACACCAGCTTGTGTCAAAATGTTTAATTGAATTTGACTGTTTTCTTAGTCCAAATATAAAACATAGATATAGCACTCAGCCACACAATATAAAACAAAGACTGGCAACAAACCCCGATGCAGGTTCAGGAGAATTCCATAGTCAAAAGGTTCAGTCCAGTAGTCAAACACCGAGAGTTCAGTGATTAAAATCCAAGGATCAAGAGTCCATACCAGGCATCCTCAAACTGCAGCCCTCCAGCTGTTTGGGCTTCCAACTCCCAGAAGCCCTACTGAGCTTGTTCAATTGTCAGGAATTCTGGGAGTTGAAGGTCCAAATAGCTGGATGGCTGCAGTTTGAGGATGTCTGGTCTATATGGTAGTCAACAGCCAGTCCAGAGATTCAAGGTTCCAGGGTTCCAAGAGTTCAAGAGACAGGTCAGGATACCGAAAATCCACAAACCTGGAGGAAAACCAGTAGCATCCACAGCCAAATAGGACAAATAGTTTTCTCCCAAAGATGAGTCTCCAGGCTAGCTCCTTATATCCAGTTAAACCCAGCTGTCTCTTGCACGCCTCCACTCTTAATTGCTTTTGCTGTAAATTAATAATATGGATATAAACAAGTACATTTATAATATTATAATATATATATATAATTTATAATATTAAAATAATTTATAATTGTGTGTGTGTGTGTATATGTGTATATATATATATATATATATATATATATATATATATATATATATATAATCATCATCTTACTGGGATCTGCACGCATTACTCACCGATACATCACACAGTCCTAGACACTTGGGAAGTGTCCGACATGTGATCCAATTCAACAGCCAGCAGAGTGTCTGCTGTGGACTCATCTTGTTGTGTTTCAAATATTAATAATTATTTTAAAAAACGTTATTTATAACCTGCCACCATCTCCCCAAGGGGCGGCTTACATGAGGCCAAGCCCAGCAATACAACAATGCAAATATACATATAAGAAAACAACAATATAATATAATAAAATAAAAGCTTACAGATTACTCTCCCCTTTAGAACTGACGGGTTAGGACTGACATTAGCTCCTTCCATCACCAACTCTTAGGCCTGACACCACCAACCACCATCCAATGTGGAACGTGATACATGACAAACCCATTGAGTTCAGTGGGACATATATCCAGGAAATGGTCTCGGCTTATCAATCTTCCATAATCTCATGGGTAGTGGGTTATTTGTTTCACCCAACTTTATATTCAGCTGTGTATTCAGATGTAATCACCATTCTCTACTAACAGGAGAGCCCCCAGTGGCGCAGTGGGTTAAATCCTTGTGCCGGCAGGACTGAAGACCGACAGGTCGCAGGTTCAAATCCGGGGAGAGGCGGATGAGCTCCCTCTATCAGCTCCAGCTCCTCATGCGGGGACACGAGAGAAGCCTCCCACAAGGATGATAAAAACATCAAATCATCCAGGCGTCCCCTGGGCAACGTCCTTGCAGGCGGCCAATTCTCTCACACCAGAAGCGACTTGCAATCTCTTAAGTCGCTCCTGACATGACAAAAAAAAAAAAAACTAACAGGAAAAGCTCTGGATTTTTAAAATATTACCTGTGTTGCACCCCAGGCCTGGAGCCACCTATGGCTATAGCACCACACAAGAATCAACAGTTTAAGCAAACAGTTTATTTTGAAAATACACGAAAAAAGCAGAAATAAAGAAAGAAGAGGAATAATCCAAAAAAGGCTTAACAATAGATGATAACTGCACCAAAATCCAAATGTCTCATAAAAATCCAAAGGTAACACAGTTCAGGAATGGCCAAAAAATCACCGGTACAGCATAAATCCATGAACAAAAGTTATATTTAGAAAAACTTGAGTGGGAATCATAAAGCAAGAATATAGAAAACTTCCAGGATACTTGAATCCAAAACCAGGGCTTGACTTGACACAATGTCCAAAAAAGTCAGGCCTAGCTTCTCTCTCGAAAGACAACGTTGCCTAACTTTAAGGTAAACAGCAGGCTGTTAATAAGAATTCGTTAAATCATTTTGTTTCCCACAAATTTTCTCTATATTGTTCCCATGTAAAGATTATGGAACCAGTTCTCAGTTCTGAACTGTAAACAAAGACCTTTGCTAATCTCCGCAACGCCAAGTGCTTTCCATTGAGAGCTTTCCACTCGACCCTTTATCTAAGTCTGTTATTTCTGGCTCCACTGACTGACCTTGGAGCTCTACACTACCTGAGCCAGTTTCATTTCCCTGGCCTGAATAATCAACAGTTTGAACCTGGCCTGAATCTCCATCAATATGAACCCCAGGAAATCGCACAGTCCCTTCTGATTCATCAGTGAACCCATCAGCCCCTGGCTGAGCTACAAAAGCGTGATACAAATGTTAACTTAGGAGTGAAAAGCTATCCAAGTTCTGCCATCATCGGTTGTCGATGTATCCTTTCCTCCTGCAGCTGCCCGGGGTCCTGGATATGGCATCCACTCCATCCGAGTAGATGGCAACGATGTCTTTGCGGTGTACAATGCCACCAAGGAAGCCCGGCGCCGGGCTGTAGCAGAGAACCAGCCATTCCTCATTGAGGCCATGACCTACAGGTGAGAATGGGATTGTGACATGAGAATGGAATATTAACCTTATACAAAGTGGTGTCTGGGAAGAGGCAGTTTCATTGCTGGATGAGACCAAGGAATTTGGCTAAATCTGTTGTTTTCCAAGACTCTCACCCAATAACAAGGGCAGAGCTTAACCAAAACAAACCCGGGCATTTGCCAAAACCAGTTTTACTTAAACGAGGAACTTAAAACACTGAGTCTTTTCAAGGTCTGACTACAGAACAGAAGGTAATACAAACAAAGTCCCAAGTTTACAATAGCACAATCTGTAGTCGGGATAAGCAAGGGAAAACTGACGTCCAAAGGTACAAACTGAATCAAGCCAAGAAGTCAGCACCGAGTTCAGGTACAAGGTTTCAAGGTATAACATGTATAAAGCAAGGTCTCAATATTCAACAGAGTTAAGGAAAGGATCACAAAAATAAGGTCTGGGTAACAGGCAAAATACAGGTCCCATTCCCATAGCTCAACAGTTACTGCTTCCAAGATCAATCTCTTGCAGAGCTCTTTTTATGCAGAGATTCTCTGCTTCTGCTGATACGAGCAGGCCTTCGCCAATAATCTCTGCAACCTGTGAAACAGGTTATGTGGACAGGAAGGTCAACTTGACCTCTTCCAAACAAGAGACAGATTAATCTTTTCCAAGTACTCAGCAGCAGCTGAATAATAATGATAATGATGATGATGATGTAATAATAATAATAATAATAATAATAATACTTCTTACATCCCACCACCATCTCCCCGAAGGGACTCGGGGTGGCTTACAAGCGGGACCAAGCCCAATAACAACAAAGTTAGACAAGTAAAAACACATTAAAAACACAATAAACATATGACAACCTAATTACACAATTGAAACAGTAAAACATAAAAACACAATTAAAGTAAATCAAAGCCAATCTCAATAACCAGAACCAGGACTTTGGTGGGCAGATCAAAATTTAGGAAGGGCTGGGTTAAGGTTAGGGTTAGATAGAGTGGGGGCTGGCCTAATATCCCTACGGAGAGAGTTCCAGAGCTTGGAGACACCACCAAGAAGACTTTCTCTCTCGTCCCCACCAACCATGCTTGTGACGGTGGTGGGAGTGAGAGAAAGGCCTCCCCGGCAGATCTTAGGGTCTGTGCCAGTTCATAGGGGAACATGCAGTTACGGAGCTAGACAGGATCCAAACCGTTTAGGGCTGCACTTTGAATTCTGTTGGTCATGGGAGTTCTGTGTGGGAAGTTTGCCCCAATTCTCTCATTTGTAGGGGTCAGAATGCTCTTTGATTGTAGGTGAACTATAAATCCTAGTAACTAGAACTCCGAAATGTCAAGGTCTATTTCCCCCCAATTCCATCTGTGTTCATATTTGGGCATTTGGAATATTCAAGCCAAGTATGTTCCAGACCAATCATTGTTTGAGTCTGCAGTGCTCTCTGGATGTAGCTGAACTACAACTCCCAAACTCAAGGTCAATGCCCACCAAACCCATCCAATATTCTGTTTGTCATTGGAGTTCTGTGTGCCAAGATTGGTTCAGTTCCATCATTGGTGGAGTTCAGAATGCTCTTTGATTGTAGGTTAACTATAAATCACAGAAACTACAACTCCCAAATGTTAAAATTAATTTTTTTGAGTGATGGCCACTCTTTGGGTTTGTAGGTGTCTTGTGGCCAAATTTGGCGGCAATTCGTCCTGTGGTTTTTGAGTTACATTAATCCCACAAACGAACATTACATTTTTATATAATAACTAGCTGTACCCGCCACGCTTTGCTGTGGCCAATCTTTCCTCTTTCTCTCTTTCTTTCCCTCCTTCCTTCACTCCCTCTTTCCTTCCTTCCCATTTTTTCTTCTCTTCTTCCTTCCTTCTCTATCTCTTTCCTTCCTTTCCCCTTTTTCTTTCTCTTCTGTTGTCTCTCTTTTCTTCCTTCTCTCTTTCCTTCTTTCCTTCCCTCCCTCTTTCTCTACATCTTCCCCCCTTCCTTCACTCCCTCTTTCCTTCCTTCTTTCCCTTTTTCTTTCCTTCTCTCCTTCCTTCCTTCTCTAACTTTCCTTCCTCCCCCTTTTTCTTTCCCTCCCTCTTTCTCTCCTTTTCCTTCCTTCTCTACCTCTTTCCTTCCTTCCTTCTCTCTTTGCTTCCATGCTTCCTTCTCCCTTTCCTTCTTTCTTTCCCTCTCTCTTTCTTTTCTTTCTTTCTTTTCTCCCCTTCCCTCCCTCTTTCTTCCCTTTTTTCGGTATTGTTATTTAGCTTTTCATCATTTAGCTTTTGGGGGCTTTTAAAGTCCCTTCTGAGGTGTTTTTCACATTGGCCTGTTAGGTGTCATGTGTCCAAATTTGGTGTCAATTCCCCCAGTGGTTTTTGAGTTCTGTTAATCCCACAAACGAACATTACAATTTTATTTATATAGATGATAATAATAATAATAATAACAACAACAACAACATTATTTATAGCCCGCCCTATCTTCTCAAAGGGACTCGGGGTGGTTTACAGACAAAAGTAACAAAGTGGCAAACATTCATTGCCAAAATGAACAAACAACAAAAACAATAAATCAACTGAAGCCATCGCGACCTGGTAGAGGGCGATGGTGAAGCCCTCCTAGGCCCATTGGTGCCATGGTGGCTTGGAGGAGGGTGATGGTGAAGCCAATCCTGGGCCGGTTGGCCTACCAAACCGCTGGCCATGACAAAATTGTTGTATGCTTGTTGTTCCTTCAGGATCGGGCACCACAGCACAAGTGATGACAGCTCTGCGTATCGCTCAGTGGATGAAGTCAACTATTGGGACAAGCAGGACCATCCCATCTCTCGCCTCCGTCACTATATGGCCGGCCGAGGCTGGTGGGATGAGGAGCAGGAGAAGATCTGGCGCAAGAAATCCCGTAAAAGAGTAGGTGGCAGGATTGAATGGCTTTCCTCACTCCCTTCCCCAGAAATTGCCACAATCTGTAAAAAAAAATCTGGGCTATTCTAACCTGCAGAATTGGTGTTGTGTTAAGAATTGTGGGAGTTCACGTCCAAAACACCTGGAGGGCAGAAGTTTGCCCATGCCTAGTTTAAGGCCTCAGGTTTGCCACACCGAAATATAAACATTTGGGAATGAGGCTTCCATCTCTGGCTTGATTTTTGTGGGATGAGTGAACTTATTGACAAAAGTCCATCCTCATAAATGTACAGCAGAGTAACTTATTAGCAATAGCGTGACCCAGCACAAGAAGCCAAAAGTAATAAAAAGAACAAAAACACACAGTCCAATGTTATCTCCTCCATAGGAGGCTTTTCTTTATGATTGAACTATTTACAAGAACAAGATTTCCTTAACACAAATGAAGTTCTTTATACTTCCTTCTTTGCTTCCACACTGGGTTTCTATCTCATGCAGATAAACAGCTTCGCTCTCACAGAACCTCTTCTCACACCGAAGTTACACAGGAGCTTCACACAGTAACTTTTTACACACGGAAGTGTCACACACAATGGCCTTCAACCTGGGGCTTCTTTCACCGAAGCTTCTCACACCAGGCCTTCTCATACTAAGACCTACTAACACTTAAGTCCTATCTCACACTGGGGCCTTTCTCCCAATGAGGTCTTCTCACACTGAGAGCACTCTCAGACTGACGTTTCTCATTCACTGAGGTGAACTAACATTGAGGTCTTCTGATACAGAGGCCTGCTAATGCATCTGACCCCCAGCCACCGGGACTGTGGCGCAGCTGGCTGGGAGTCAGCTGCATTAAGATCACTACTGACTGAAAGGTCATTGAGCTCGAAGCCAGCCCAGGTCGGCGTGAGCTTCCAACCAAAACTGTGTAGCTTGTTCTCGACCTTTGCAGCCCGAAAGACAGTTGCATCTGTCAAGTAGGAAATTTAGGCAACACTTATGTGGGGAGGCTAATTTAACTGATTTATGAAGCCATAAAAATCTCCAGGAAGTATGCAAAGAATGAGGAAGTACTTAATCAGTGTCACAAACGGACGGTGAAGCAACAGCTCCCCTGGTGGCCAGAAGCTGGAATGTTAAATAGCTTCTGAGTGTCTGTCTATATATGTTGTGTGTCTATGGCATTGAATGTTTGTCATGTATATGTACATTGTAATCCGCCCTGAGTCCCCTGCGGGGTGAGAAGGGCAGAATATAAAAACTGTAAATAAATAAATAAATAAATACTAACACACAGAGGCCCTTCTCCCACAGAGAACTATCACAGACTGAAGGCTACTAAACTACAGGCACACCTGTTTATATTGAACTGCAGCTTTTGCTGAGTCCTTGCATCTATTTAACCCTTTCAGTGTTTGACACATTTTTGTAATTAATAATCCCTAGTTAATTTTTAATAAACAGCTTTGCATTTTCAGAACTTCCTCTCACACCAAAGTTACACAGGAGCTTCATGCAGAAGCTTTTTACACACAGCAGCCATCACACAGGCGCTTCCTCTCACACTGAGGCTTTCTCATACTGAGGCCTACCTCACACTGAGGCCTTCTCACACTGAGGGCTCTCTCAGACTAATGCCTCTCTCCCACTGAGGCGAACTGAGGCCTTCTCATACTGAGACCTACTAACACACTGAGGCCCTCCTCCCAGGGAGACCTCTCACAGACTGAGGACACCTAAGCTACAGTCACACCTGTTTATATAGAACGACAGCTTTTGCTGCGTCCTTGCATCCATTTAACCCTTTCAGTGCTTCATTTTTGTAATTAAAAATCCCTGGTTAATATTTAATATTTCTGACAATTTTTGCCTTCTCTTCCCCTTTTCTCCAGGTGATGGAGGCCTTCGAAGAGGCAGAGCGCAAGCTGAAGCCCAAATTCCAGCACCTCTTTTCGGACGTCTACTCAGAGATGCCCTGGCACATCCAGAAGCAGCAGGAATCCTTGGAGCGCCACCTCAAGCAGTACGGCGAACACTACCCCTTGGACCACTATGAGAAGTGATTTGTAAGTCCTCCTCGCTTTTCAATGAGCAGGATTTGCTGAAAGAACTTTAGCTCGAAGAGAGAGCCATTTGTAATCACTTCCTTCTCACCATGATAATGGTGCGAAACGAGTTCTGACTCCTCTGATAGGGATTTGTGGACAACTGTGGTGAAGGACAAGCACCTATAAGCTCTGGCACCTTTTGTCGCTCCAGTCCAGCTTGGGTTAGCTGCCCACTGGCTTGTTTTGCCCCAATTTTAAAACACAGATATATATATTTTAGTTGAACATAGCCTTATTTAAAGCACAGGAGCAGTTGACGGCTCTACTGCTGTGCATACGAACTGCCTTATCTGTGTGCCGTTCCTTTTCTGGACCAGCTTCTCCTGCCTCCTGTTACATCTGTCTCCCTTGGTTCTGCTATTCCGCAAACACTGGGCAAGAACCAACAAGCAGCATCTTGGTTTCCTTTCCTGGAGAAGTTGTGTCCAAAAACAAAGCACATTTGCCAAAATTATTTCCAGTTCCCTTCAATCAGTTTTGTGAGATGTATCTGTTTGGGAGAGAATGAGATTGTCCACTTTCCTTTCAAGGTAAACTTGCGGTGGCTGCATAAATCTAGTCTGTGTTCCTGTCTTTTGGAGAAGACCTGGCCAATAACTCCTAAATGTGTCTTTAGTTAATTCATCAAAATAGTAAAAGGGCTTTCCCTGGAAATTAGTGAGGAAACAATTGTAGTGTACACTCTGGCTATCAATAATAACAAAATAATAACACATTATTTATAGACTATCTCCCCAAAGGGACTCAATAAAACTAAATTGGTGCTGAAAACAAAATTTTAAAAAATAAGAGGTGGATTACAACTGGGCTTTTGCCTGATTGTCTTCCTTAGCCAAAGCACCGCTGCAATTATTCAGCACTCTCTTGAACTGTTACATTTTTCCTTAATCATAACTGTTAGACAGAAAGCACAAGATTTAATTTTATCTGGGGCTTTGGGAGAATAATTGGTGAATGTCAGCTACTCCAGGCAGCTGTATGTTTGGTAAGAAGGCAAGTTGGCAAAGTAATAAAAAAGGATTTTACAGTATTTTCCTCCTGTTTTGTCTTTACTTAAAACATTTCTGGATTGGCAGCACTACATCTTTGGCTGTGGAAGTTGTGTTGCTGAATGGAACCACATCAGTTTGTTGGGAAAACAACAAATGCTTTCAGAAACTTGTTCTCAATACTTAACAGGAGTTGTTGTTGTTGTTGTTGTTGTTGTTGTTGTAATAATAACAATAATAATCCCCAAGTGTAGACTCTGCAAGGAAGCAGATGAAAATAGATCACATCCTCAGCTGCTGCAAGAAAATTGCGCAGACTGACTCCAAGCAGAGGCATAACACCGTTGCTCAGATGATTAATTGGAACTTGATTACCATTTGCCTGCAACAAAGGACTGGTGGGATCACAAGCCTGAAAAAGTTACAGAAAATGAACACGTCAAACTACTCTGGGACTTTCAAATTCAGGCTGGCAAAGTTTTGGAGCACACGACTCCTGACCTCACAATCGTGTTAAAAAACCAAGCTTCCAGACGGCACAAAGTGCCTGAAAACAAACATAAAAGTGAACACAGTATAAAATACAATAAAATAAAACGCATGCACATATAAAAACATCAATTCAGACTCAATCAAGCTGCGATCCTCTAACCGTGGCAGTAAATTACTGGCACCATGGCTGGGCTGTAAACATTGGAATAAAATAAGTGCCAGCTGCAGTAATGGAGAGAGAGAATGGGATAAAGTGCAGCATATGCATCTAGGGGCTAAATATTCTCAAAGGCTTGATTGAAAAGCCACATCTTCAAGTCCCTGCGAAAGGAGGACAGTGTGGGGGCCTGTCTAATCTATGGCAACAAACAACAATGTATGTGCGTAACTCGCGAAAAAAATACTATTCACAGTAGTAAGAGTACAATTCTCATATTATAATTCAACTAAGGATATACTATTCATGATATATTATTCCTGTCGAATCTCCCTGGGGAGGGTGTTCCAAAGCAAGGGGGCCACCACCAAGAAGGCCCCCTCTCTCATCCTCACCAACTGCCCTTGTGACGGTGATGGGACCACAAGGAAGGCCTCCCCGGCAGGTCTTAGAGCCTGCGTCGGTTCATAGGGGAGGATGCAGTCACGAAGATAGGCAGGACCTGAGCTGTTTAGGGCTTTATAGGTGATACCTAGCACTTTGAATTGGGACTGGAAACTTGTTGGCAGACAGTGGAGCTCCTTTAGTAGGGGCATCGTGTGCTCCCTATAGTTGGCTCCGGTTAATAGCCTGGCTGCAGATCTTTGGACCAACTGCAGTTTCTGAGTCATCTTCAAAGGCAGCTCCACATAGAGTGCATTGCAGCAGTCCATTCTGGAGGCAACTAAGGCATGGACTACCATTGCCAAGTCTGGCTTCTCAAGATACAGTTGAAACTGGCGACACCTGAGCTTCAAGCGCCAGCACTGAGTCCAGGAGGACCCCCAAACTGCAGACCACCCTATGCCCTATTGGCCTCACAACTGACCAGGAGGGCTCTGTCTTGTCTGGATTTAGCTTCAGCTTGTTAGCCCTCATCCAGTCCATCGCAGCAGCCAGGCACTGATCCAAGATCTGGGGAGCTTGTCCTGGATTGAAATAAATTCTGGTTCAACTGTTCTGCATACATACAGAAGTAGGTAATATGAGGCTGAGGGAGGAGGGATCTCAAAAATAGCATTCTGAGAATTGTGGCCAGTTATTATATCGTGGATGAGCATCCTAATTTCCTTGTCACATAGAATAACATTTACTTGTTTCCTTGTATTTCCAGTTTTGATGTGCATTTTCTTCTACCTGGTTGATTTCATTGGTCGTTTTTTTCTTCTTTAAACAGACAGTACTGTATATACTCGAAGATAAGCTGAGTTTTTCAGCCCTTTTTTGGAGCTAAAAAGCCTCCCTTGGTTTATAATGGGGTAAAGGCCAGGTCGCAGAGCCTGGAGGCCATTGATTGCAATATATGATATATTTCTCTCTCCTTCACCTCCCTTAACAGTGTGTTTTCTTCTCCCATCAAAAGGGAGGGAAGGAGGGAAAGGAGATATATTTCATGTCCTCCTTGTTTGTATGGCTGTCTTTCAGACCCATCCAATTTCCTGGCTTTTGTGTGTGTATCTAAATGTATTAACTTTATATGTGCATTTTTGTTCCCTTGGAAGTGTTCACTGGCCTTTGCAAGCTCTACAGATCTATAGAAATGTTTCTATATATGCATGTTTCTCCTGAAGTCTTTGCAAACCATATATATCCATAATCTTATAACAGCGTTTTCCCCTGAAATATTTGTTCATCTCTTCTGTAGATATATAGGAATTTTCCTCTGCAAGCCTTTGCAATCCCTATTTACCTATATATCTGTATCTATCTATATACATTAATTTTATATATGATTTTTCCCCTCCTATGTTTTCAGGTTTTTGCAAATCCTATATAGATATAATTATTTATATAGAGAGAGTGTGGCGCAGCTGGCTGGGAGTCAGCTGCATTAAGATCACTACTGACCAAAAGGTCATGAGTTCGAAGCCAGCCTAAGTCAGCGTGAGCTTCAAACCAATTTGTGTAGTTTGCTGTCAACCTTTGCAGCCCGAAAGACAGTTGCATCTGTCAAGTAGGAAATTTAAGTACTTTATGCGGGAGGCTGATTTACGACGCCATAAAAATATCTAGCAAGCATGCAAAGAATGAGGAAGTACTTCTTCAGTGTCACAAATGGACGGTGAAGCGATAGCTCCCCTGGTGGCCAGAATACCCTCATGAAAAAGCTGGAATGTTAAATAGCCTTTGTTTGTCTGTCTATATATGTTGTGTGTCTATGGCATTGAATGTTTGCCATGTATATGTACATTGTAATCTGCTCTGAGTCCCCTACGGATGAGAAGGGTGGAATATAAATAAATAAATAAATATGTCTAGATAGAGATATAGGAATATAGATATATAGGGCTTGCAAATCTTACAGGGGGAAACACACACACAAGCATATATAGACATGTCTAGATAGATATGAATATAAATATATAGGGCTTGCAAATATTGTAATGGAAAGGGGATTTGCAATCATTTGAAGGGGAAATATATGTGAAATTATGGTAGTATATATAATTATAGATCTATATCTAGCTCTGCATTGCTTATATAGGCATTAAATGTTTGTCTATTACTATGTTGGAAGCTGGCTTGAGTCTGCATGGGGAGATAGGGCGGGATACAAATAAATTATTATTATTATTATTATTATTATTATTATTATTATTATTATTATTAAGTTATTGTTGATACCATATTGTTTTTGTTGACCCTACTTTCCCACTTACAGAGCTAGTTTATTGTTTTGTTTTGTTTTTTGAAATATGGTAAATATTCAAAAATACTTAACCTACTGATGCCTAAATTATTGTAATTTTATTGGTAAAGGTAAAGCTTGTCCCCTGACATTAAGTCCAATCATGTCTGACTCTGGGTGTGGTGCTCATCTCCATTTCTAAGCCAAAAAGCCGGCGTTGTCCATAGACACCTCCAAGGTCATGTGGCCGGCATGACTGCATGGAGCGCCTTAATTTTATTGGTATCTGTTCTTATTTTGACATTTACCCATAGCTGCTGCATTTCCCACCCTCGGCTTATACTCGAGTCAATACGTTTTCCAAGTTTTTTATGGTAAAATTAGGTGCCTTGGCTTATATTTGGGTCGGCTTATACTCGAGTATATACGGTACTTGCTTTCACAGGGAAAAGAGGGCAAACTGTTTAAACGTAAGGTGAAAATGGTTTCCAACATCACTATTTTGGACTTTTAAGACTAAATAGGGCCTCAGCCCGAATTAGACTGGTAACTTTCGAAGGTGTAAGAATAAATACATTCTGAAGAGCAACACCAAGTGAGCTCAAAACCTTGGAGTTACAAAATCCAATACACACACTGCACCTGAGACTCCTTTTATTATATATTATATTTCTTCTATATTTATACACATCATTACAGTGTTTGAATTATGACATTCCCCACATTTAAGTGGGTCACACAAAAATATCCGAGCCTTCTTCACCTTAAAGCAGCTGTGAAAGGAAGAGCAACTGGCAAAATTAGATGAACATCTATTTTTACCATCCGTGAAGTTGTACCTTTTTCTTTCAAGCCATATTTAAACATTAAATAATGACGAAAACTGTCACTGGGTGACTCCACTTCTTTGTTTGCCGAGCTGTGGGTTTCTTGGTTCCATTAGGGGGAAAAATCAGGAAGGTTAGATAGGAGAAAAGAAAGAGCGAGGAAGAAAGCCTATTGGGGCCTGACCTGATATTACAGACAGATCAAGTAAAGCGTTACAGACAGGGAAGGGGATAACCAAGAAACGTGACACCTCAGGAGCATTCTCAGTGATGACACTTTCACATCTGGAAAAGGAAAAATTATATTCTGGCTTTTAAGACTATTAAAGTTTCATCTTGCTGGGTTGCTGTAAGTTTTCCAGGCTGTATGTCCATGTTTGGGAAGCATTCTCTCCTGACGTTTCACCCACATCTATGGCAGGCATCCTCAGAGGTTATGAGGTCTGTTGGAAACTAGGAAAATGGGGTTGATATATCTGTGGAATAGGGTGAGAGAAAGATTTCTTGTCTGCTTGAGGGGAGTGTGAATGTTGCAATTGATTAGCATTGAATGGCCTTGCAGATTCAAACCTGGCTGTGTCCTGTGTGGGGGAATCCTTTGTTGGGAGGGGTTAGCTGGCCCTGATTGTTTCTTGTCTGGAATTCCCATTTTTCTGAGTTTTGCTCTTTATTTACTGTCCTGATTTTAGAGTTTTTAAAAATACTTTTAGCCAGATTTTGTTCATTTTCACGGTTTCCTCCTTTCTGCTGAAATTATCCACATGCTTGTGGATTTCAGTGGCTTCTCTGTGTAGTCTGACATGATGGTTATTAGAACTTCTCTGCGTCGTCTGACATAATGGTTATTAGAGCGGTCCAGCATTTCTGTGTTATCAAATGGTATAATGTGTTCAGGTTGGTTCATCAAATGCTCTGCTATGGCTGACTTCTCAGGTTGAATTAGTCTGCAGTGCCGTTCATATTCCTTGATCCATGCTTGGGCAATGCTGCGTGTGGTGGTCCCTATGTAGACTTGTCCACAGCTGCATGGTATACGGTAGACTCCTGCAGAGGTGAGAGGTTCCCTTTGTCCTTTGCTGAACGAAGCATTTGTTGGATTTCCTTGGTGGGTCTGTAGATAGTTTGTAGGCTGTGCTTCTTCATCAGTTTCGCTACGATGTCAGTGGTTCCCTTTGTGTATGGGAAGAACACTTTTCCTTTGGGTGTATCTTTGTCTTTACCCTTTTGTGTTCTTGGTCTTGCAGCTCTTCTGATGTCTGTGATCGAATCTCAATTAGCCTGTAGAGCCCAGTTTAGGAAGCAGCCAGGCTTTGAAGCTGCAAGGCTATTCAATGGTAATCAAGCTGGCCAGTTGCAACATTCACACTTGCCTCAAACAGACAATAATAATAATAATAATAATAATAATAATAATAATCTTTATTTATACCCCGCCACCATCTCCCCGATGGGGACTCGGAGCGGCTTACATGAGGCCAAGCCCAAACAGCAAATTACAATAAAATAAAACCGAAAACGCAAACAATAAACGACAACAACATAATTACATAAAACATGTAAAAACATAGCAATATAGAATTACAATAGGCACAATCACAACGACAATGGGCGGGCTACATGTAATGGTTAAAAGAGAGACTGATTAAAACTCAGGCGAGATAAGAAAGAGATTATTTGCAGAGGAGGGCTCATTATAGTGATGGTTGTGGAATCAAGCTTTCCCACACCGGGGGAAAGGGGCATGTACTCCAATGACAAGAGTTCTTTCTCCCACCCTGGACATACCACAAATATATAAACCTCACTTGCCTAGTTTCCAACAGACCTCACAACCTCTGAGAATGCCTGGGCAAAATGTCAGGAGAGAATGCTTCTGGAACGTGGCCATACAACCCAGAAGACTCACAGCAACCCAGTGATTCCAGCCATGAAAGCCTTCAACAATAGATTAAAGTTTCCATTGACTCACACTTCTACTGAATGGTTGAAAGTTTTCACAGCAAGCATTCTTTGAAAGTACCTGAAATGTTATGACTTGAAAGGAAGTGGGACTACAAAGCTTCAAACCTGGCTGAGTTTAGCAATGGAAGTCATAAGGATGTATTATAAATCCTTTCACATTTCAGCCAGGAAGACCTGAGAAAATGTTTAGGACTGCCTTCAAAATCTGGGGGGAAACAACATTCCTAACCTTGAGCTGCCATTGCTGTCCTCCATGGCTCTCTGTTTGGTTTTAGATGTACTAACTTACATTTTAAAGCACATGCCGGCAAATGCTTCTCCTTGAAAGACACAAGATTGGGTTTAAGTACAGAGGTTGTGCCAAACTCCAGATGTTGTAGGACTCCCATATATTGGCTGCATTGGCAAAGGCAGTAGGGAATTGTAATCTCAACAACATCCAGAGAAGCCATCTTAAATGAAGAACAATCTACTGAAAAACTTACTTGAAGTTTGGAAAACCTAATTTAAGGCTTGAATTCAATTTCAGAGAAGTTTGCCAGTATGCATTCCTATAGTAAAGGTAAAGGTTTCCCCTGACATTAAGTCCAGTCGTGTCACACTCTGGAGTGTGGTGCTCATCTCCATTTCTAAGCCCAAGAGGCAGTGTTGTCCATAGATGCCTTCAAGATCATGTGGCCAGCATGACTGCATGGAGCACCATTACCTTCCCTATTGATCTACTCACATTTGCATGTTTTCAAACTGCTAGGTTGGCAGAAGCTGGGGCTAACAGCAGGAGTCACCCCACTCCCCAAATTCGAACTGCCAACCTTTCAGGCAGCAAGTTCAGCAGCTCAGCGGTTTAACCCGCTGCGCCACCAGGAGGTCCACATTTCCATAGTAGGCCAAAACTAAAAATGCCATCATAATTCAGCTGAAAGCTCTTAAATGCCAGTGAGAACATTTTATGGAAGAACCTTTCATATTTTGTGGGGGAAAGGACAGCCCAAAGATGGCAAATCATCCAATGATGGTGTCATGGAGAAGTGGACACAGTCAATGGGAAACCCAAAGGGGTAGATTTGATCCAATTCCAGCCTTGATCCATAAAGGGCAGTTCTTTGCCAAGATATCAAATAGTTCCTCAACTTTGAAGTCCATTTCAGTTGGACATACTGCCAGTGGTTCATGACTGATGCCAATTGGGAGTTCTGAACTAAGCTCTAGTCATTTTCCCTTCCAGTAATCCTGTTAAGAAAATGGTGACGTATTCATCCCCTTTTCCAAACATCACCCAACAACCTACTTAACACACTTCCTCCCTTTCTTCCCTGCCAGAGTGGATCAATGGTTCCCTGAGCACAAAGTTAAGAAGAGGCCAACTGAAATGGCCCAGCCTTTTAGTGCTTTTGTTTCCAACCCAACTGGTTCTGAGGAGCTTGTGAGTTGGGCATGGAAGTAATGGCCATTCCTTAGTCACTGGAGTTCACATATTCACTGTCTCCAAGTCTGTAATTTAAGGAGGTCATGCTCAAGCCCCTGCCACATGCAGGATGCATAGCAGAAACCCATTTGGGATGCAGAAGGCATGCCACTCCTGCCTCTGCTTCCCATTGCTCCTGGAACCTCCACACTCAGAGGTCTGCTAGTCCTGACTCCCTTCAGCACTTGAGTTCTGAGTCCATGATTCGTTTCCAGAGCTGAAGTGTCTGCTGAGGGCTACGTCGATGCACCAAGAGCAACCTGCTGTGTACACAAGGGTCCTCGCGGTCCTTCTCTGCAATATCAAAAGTCTGGAAGCCTGGGTGAGTCTCGGGGCGGATGCCCAAGGCTCGAAAGCAGAGCCCTGTGTAAACATCATCGATAGGGTAGAAGGCTATGTGCCGAGATACGAAGTGGAGCCACCGGGCTAATGATCCAGAGAAGATGTAGCCACCACCTCCGGCATAGGACGGGTAAGGACCCACGTAGTACGATTCCGGCACATAGTACTTGCTCTTGCGGATGCGGAACGGCGAAGCATTTGCCATCACTTGCCCCATGTACAGTGGTTGTTGAGCATCTAAAGTCCCCAAGTAGTCCAAGACCTTGGGTGTGTTGATAAAAACGTCATCGTCCCCTTTCAAAATGTAACTGACATCTCGGCAGTACTCCAGCGTCCAGCTGAGGAAGAGGTTGTCCTTCAGGGTCAAGTTGAAGAAGGTGTCCTCAAAGTCCCACATCAAGATGTCCCCAAAAAGCTGGCTCTCGTACTCCACTAGATGTTGCAAGCGAGGTCCAGAACGGCCCTGGGCCGTGCCTAACAAGAAAACGGTGCGGACGGGTAACCCGCCAGGGGCACCCTCCTGTCCCCACGTGTCCCGCACAGCCTGGCGGGCAGCAAAGTTTCCAGGCAAAGATTTGATGGCTAAGAGCAAGAAAGTGTGGTTCTTGCCAACTCGGGTGCACTTGGTGGGCTGGTTGATCAAGAGCGGAAAAGTCCGGCATTCGTCGTACAGAATGAAGTTCCTGTAAAGCTCCGAGTAGGAACCAAAGTCTTTGATCTTGGACGCTCTGTCTGCAGCTCCGGAACCCAAACATTCATCCCGTGAAGCATTGCTTTCCAAGTCACCTTCCAGGATCCGAAAGATACGATGCTGTTTCTCATTCCAGTAAGCGTTGGCCCTTGGGATGCTTTGCCGTAGCTGTTGCATGGAAGCATTGAAGTGTTGTGGGGTGAATACCAGTGACTCTTTTGAGGGCTGGGCAGATGTGATGGAGTTGCTGTGCCAACTGGCTCCGTGGGGAGTTGGGAAGCGCTCCTCCTCTTCAGCAGTCCACTCTATATAGGCCTTGAGGGCTACTAGCGTCAGAAGAGCAGTGGCCACTGTGAGGCATCGTGAGCCTCTCATCCTCTTCTTCCTAAGGAGGTAAAAAAAACAAGCAAAACAAAAACTGAGAACTGGGAAAGGACTGGGATCCAGGGTCATGCAATAAAGCTGAATAGTAGGACATTCCAAACAGAGAATAGGCAAAACAGCAGCGTTTCTAAAACTGGGGGCTGGGACCATTGGGGGCTCGCCAGGGGGTGTCAGAGGGGTTGCAAAAGACCATTAGAAAACACAGTATTTTCTGATGGTCATGGGGGTTCTGTGTGGGATGTTTGGTCCAATTCTATCAGGATGCTCTTTGTAAGTGAACTATAAATCCCAGCAACTACAACTCCCAAAGTCAAGGCCTGTTTTCCCCAAACTCCACTGGTGTTTACATTTGGGCATATTGAGTATTTGTGCCAAGTGTGGTCCAGATCCATCATTGTTTGAGTCCACAGGACTCTTTGGATGTAGGTGAACTACAACTCCAAAACTCAAGGTCAATGCCCACCAAACCCTTACAGTATTTTTTGTTGGTCATAGGAGTTCTGTGTGCCAAGTTTGGTTCAATTTCATCATTGGTGGAGTTCAGAATGCTCTTTGATTGTAGGTGAACTATAAATCCCAGCAACTCCAATTCCCAAATGACAAAATCAATCCTCCCACAGCCCCACCAGTATTCAAATGTGGGCGTATCAGATATCCGTGCCAAATTTGCTCAAGTGAATGAAAATACTTCCTGCATATCAGATATTTACATTACGATTCATAACAGTAGCAAAATCACAGTTATGAAGTAGCAACAAAAATAGTTTTATGGTTGGGGTTCACCACAATGAGGAACTGTATTAAGGGGTTGTAGAATTAAAAAGGTTGAGAACCACTGCAATACACAGGAAAAGAGATTTAAATATGTGCTTAAAGCCAACCTTAAAAACTGTGGCATAGACACTGAGAACTGGGAGGCCCTGGCACTTGAGAGCTCCAACTTGAGGTCAGCTGTAGCCAGCAGTGCTGCAGAATTCAAAGAGGCATGAATGGAGGAAGAAAGGTGTCCAGAGGAAGGTGTGTCAAGCCAACCCTGACCAGGACCGCCTTTTGTCTGTGGGAGAACATGTAGATCAAGAATAGGGCTCCACAACCACCTATGAACCCACCACCAAGACACCACATCTGGATGACCATCACCCTCAAGCTACGAGGGATCACCTAAGTAAGTAAGTAAACTATGGACTTTGTTACTGTATTGTCGAAGGCTTTCATGGCCGGAATCATTGGGTTGTTGTGGGTTTTTTCGGGCTATATGGCCATGGTCTAGAGGCATTCTCTCCTGACGTTCGCCTGCATCTATGGCAAGCATCCTCTGAGGATGCTTGCCATAAATGCAGGCGAAACGTCAGGAGAGAATGCCTCTAGACCATGGCCATATGACTTTGTTACTGTTACCAAGTCATTTCAGAATAATAGAAACCCAAAGGTGACCCTATTGCGGAGTTTCCTTGACGAGATTTGTTCAGAGGGGGTTACCCTTGTCTTCACCTGAAGCCGAGAGAATATGACTTGTCCAAAATCACCAAATGAGTTTCCAAGGCCAAGCCAAGATTCGAACCCTAGTCTCCAAGGTCCTGGTCCAATGCTCAAACTGCTGCACCATGCTGATTCTTCAGTAATGTGCTGTAGACAGTTAAGCAAAACATAATAATTGTATAATATTGTCACTGAGAACCAGCAACTGAGAAAGTGGATCATCTTTATCATCTGCTCTCAAAGGCCACATTTATGATTCTTTCAAGAAAACCCCGGTTGATATTTGAGGTTTCTGTAAACAACTTACCAAAAGAACAATGAAAGGCTGTATTAAAAATTCTGGAAGGAAGCTACAAATCCCACTGAAGAGAGGCGCTAACCAAGGTTTCTTCTCCGTGCTTTCTGACATTTCCCATAAGCCGCTTTTTAAAAAATCCCCTCTGCCACTTTGGTGTTGCTGTTACATATTAAGTGCTTGCGTTCTTGGCCTGCTTCCATTTCAGCTTGAGTGGAGCTCATTTCCTTGCATGGTGGAGTTTTCTCTCCCTAACCTCCCATGTTTCTTTGTTCTGCTTGAAACAATGGATTTGGCTTGGAGAGATGGAAGGTCACGATTTAAGATTTGGGCAGCTTAGTTTGTTTTGGTACAATCAAGTCAAGACAACTCTCCTTTTAAAAACTCAGTGTATCCAATGTAGCATTGACTATGAGATGACTCTGTTAGCAAAAGGGCTGGGATGCTTTTCTGATATATGCCATTTGCTCCCTTAGTTGTCACCAGTAAAGCTTATGTATAGAAGTAATGCCCTGGAGACTAGGACGCAATGGAACAATGGCTGCAAACAACAAGAAAGAAGATTCCACCTGAACATTAGGAAGAACTTCCTGACTGTAAGAGCTGTTCAGCAGTGGAACTCTCTGCCCCGGAGTGTAGTGGAGGCTCCTTCTTTGGAGGCTTTTAAACAGAAGCTGGATGGCCATCTCTCAGGGGTGCTTTGAATGCAATTTTCCTGCTACTTGACAGAATGGGGTTAGACTGGATGGCCCACGAGGTCTCTTCCAACTATGATTCTATGATTCTACCAGGGTTGAATGAAAAGTAATGCCTCCACCTTCGTAACTCCTCAACAGTTGGCAGTACTGGTATGCAGCAGGTACTGGCTTGTTCAGTAGACTCCTCTACAGTTCCGTTTTGGCGGGAAGCCTTAGCATTATATGGTTGTGTTGTTAAAGTGCAAAGTATGGAACCCTGTGCAGACGGTCAGTCAATGCGACTTAAGCAACGTACAGTCATTGAATTCTTGACAGCAGAAATTGTCACCCCAAAGGAGATTCATCAGAGAATGCAAGCTGTTTATGGTGATTGTGTTGATGTGAGAACTGTGAGTCGTTGGGCGAGTAACTTTATTTATTTATTTATTTGCAGCATTTATATTCCGCCCTTCTCACCCCGCAGGGCGCTCAGTACAATGTACACATATATGGCAAACATTCAATGCCAATTAGACATACAACGTATATAGACATACACAGAGGCTATTTAACTTTTTTTGGCCGCCAGGGGAGCTGTCACTTTCATTGTCCATCTGTGACATGCTTTTTGCTGGAGTGCTTTTTTTTTTTGCTGGAGTCTTTTTATGGCCTCATAAATTAGTTAATTAGCCTGGTACCTAATTTTCCTACTTGACAGATGCAACTGTCTTTCAGGTTGCAAAGGTCGACAACAAGCTACACAAAATTGGCCGGAAGCTCACTCCGACCTGGGCTGGCTTCGAACTCATGACCTTCTGGTCAGAGTGATCTTAATGCAGCTGACGCTCAGCCAGCTGCGCCACAATCCCGGTGCTTTAAAGATGTTGAGGTGGGAACATCTGACTTGCGTGACAAACAAAGAGTTGGACGTCCTGTAACAGCAACCAAACTTCCTACACAGAAAACAAACAATACTGTGTTTTCTGATGGTCTTTGGTGACCCCCCTGACATCCCTCTTGACACCCCCCCCCCGGGGGGGGGGGGTCTTGACCCCCAGGTTGAGAAATACTGCAATAAGAACTTCTCTACTTAGAGTTGCATAACCAAAGGATAGTTGCAGAATTTGATACCTACAGATTCTTGTACAAATGGAGTTCAGCCATACCTGTGGGAAGTATGTATCTTGGCTGTTAAATGGTTTTACACATCTTGTAATATTGTTAAACACATCTTGTCAGGTTAGAGCTAGTAAAGTGGCATTCCACTTTGTTTTTTCTTGATTGTGCCAAGGGTAGTGATGACTTGTGCAACAGGAGTGCACAAAGTTCTATCATTTATTGTGCAATCAGATGCACAACAGTCTCACTGTGCCATGTGACATGACACAACCAGTAAACAAGATCTTGATCTACTAGCAGTGATCTATACCTATTTTCAGTTTCAGGTGCTCACGTCTGACTGGGAATGTATAAAGGTAAAGGTAAAGGTTTTCCTCTGACATTAAGTCTAGTCAAGTCCGATTCTGGTTGTGATGCTCATCTCCATTTCTAAGCCGGAGAGCCGGCGTTGTCCGTAGACGCCTCTAAGGTCATGTGGCCAGCATGACTGCACAGAATGCCATTACCTTCCTGCTGGCATGGTACCTACTGATCTACTCACATTTGCATGTTTTCGAACTGCTAGGTTGGCAGAAGCTGGGCCTAACAGCGGGAGCTCACCCCGCTCCCTGGATTCGGATCTCCAACCTTTAGGTCAGCAAATTCGGCAGCTCAGTGGTTTAACCCACTGTGCCACCAAGGGGTCTGGGAATGTATAAACTTTAACACACAAAAAACCCCTAAATATAGGATATATAGCATTTCACATCTACCCCTCTCATGGATAGCTGTTCCCTATCTGCAAACACCCAGGGCATTTGTTCTGCCAAGAGAACGCTAAATATAAATCCCAGCAGCATTCCTTTGAGGAGCTCCATCACACACAGAGCATGATAAGACACATACCCGCCGCACAGGATGGAAATCCCACATCACAGCGCACTGGCATTAAAGGAATATACAGGCCTCGGTGCCAACATGAGTCATGCCTTCCCTTCGGTTTGGCTCCGGACAGATGATGCATCCCCAACACCATCCATGCCCATGTGGCACCGATTATATACATATTGATTTCACTTATATTCTACTTTTTACTCCAAAGATGGGACATAGAGTTCTTTTCCTCCCCACTTTATGTTCCTAACAAACCACTAAAGTTGATCAGGATAATTAGGCTGACTCCACCCAAATCGTCATGGTTTGGTCAGAATTTACTTCTTAGTAAGGTAAAAGCTTTCCCCTGACATTATATCCAGTTGTGTCCGACTCTGGGGGGTTGGTGCTCATCTCAGTTTCTAAGCCGAAAAGCTGGCGTTATCCATAGACACCTCAAAGTTTATATGGCCAGCATGACTGCATGGAGCACCATTATACCTTTACTGAAATGGTTTCAGCATTGGACCATAAGTGCAGTTTGACACCACTTTTACCACCATGGATCAAAGTTAAGGA